AAAATCTAACAAAACAAAATTGAATGTTCACCTGGTGCAAACGATTTAGAAACTTAAATATGAAGAAATATGAATTTAAAAATAGAATTGAAGAGAACAAAAAATAAATATTTTATTTTCGAGATATGCTATAATTTTCATCTGATCGAGCCTACTTTTCGTCTCTCAGAGCTCAGAAGAAAATGGTTTTACATTCGCTTTACTTTGAAGATAAACTGAAGAACATAATTAGTGAGCTGATTCATACAAGTATGATATGTGCAAGGTTAATTGCATGTGCAGCCAGCCAGGGATGACTTCAAGAGTGTGGTCCTACTGCCCAGCGCCTCTTCAGACGCACTCCAGCGCTTTCCCAAGAACCTTGGATGCACGGTGTCAATTTCGCGGCGTGTCACCGGTTACAGGGAGGACCCTTTGTCATCTGCTAATTTTAAAGGGATCAATTTGTGTACAAAACGTTCAAGAGGTTTCCTAAACAGGTGGCAGATTTAGCGCGACGTATTGTGTGAAGGGTTCAAGTCATTTGTTCACGGGGTGAAAATGTTTCAAGTTTTGTCCTTCAGTTTACAAAGTCTTTAGAAAATATCCACTTAATTGTTAGTGTCCCTTTGACAAACTTTTCAATAAAAAAATTATTGTCAAATTATTTAATGCTGTTAAGATAAGATAGTAATGAATAAATTTACAAATTACATTAATTACACAGTTTTCATTGTGCTAGTACTTTTTTTATTAAAATGTCTTGGACAATTCTTTTATGTTGCATACAAACCATTCTGTAACATCAAAGTAGACACTGAATATTATCAAACTGAATGATTCTATTTTGAAAAAGAAATTATGCTAGCTTCGTTTATTTCCTATAGTCTTCTCTCTATTTCAAAATCACAAAACCTTCGTAAAGGACTCGTAGACATTTTATGCATAATAAATGTCAAATGGATTGTTAATGTAATCGTATGAAATATTCATTCACTGTATGCTACATCCATATCAATTCAAAGCAATTTTCCATTTTTTATTTAAAGTTCATGCTTAAATTTACAAGAAGTAATGTTTGTGCAAGAAAAGTGTGTATCCTTTGAATAAAACAATCTTTTGTTTTCCATGCTTGTCGATCATAAAAGAGGGAAATAAAACAACAATAAAAATTGATGTCTTAGCCTATCAATATGAGATTCCATAAGAATTTACATTCATTCATAAACTTAGGAATTACTAAAACAAATGTCGGCTTCAAAACGAAGTCTATCCTTATTCTTTAAATAATGAAATAAAATTCTATGTAGGACAACGTGTATGTTACTTGCCTATATGTATAGTTTCACAAAAACTCAAATTCTATTCTACTTTGTTAACACACTTTCTTCACCTAAAAATAAAAAAAAATCCCAAAATCAGGGTTTGCATTGTTGACCCAGATGCAGTTTTCATTCAGTTTTCCAGTTTTTATACATGTTTTCGAAAAGGTTATTTGGAACTCTTAAAGAAATTGGGGCCAATCTATTTATCTGAGGAACAATCATTTAGCATAGGTGAATACAATATTTAGTCATATAAATCTAAACAGAACTGAATTAATTTTCTGATGGAGTACGTTCGCAGATTTTTTTTCAAGAATATTATAGCTTAAATTTCCACCAAGAAATGACTACCTCACATAGCTTATTATTTCTTTGTAGCTAATATATGCATGTTGCTGTCAAGTAAATGAATAGTTGTTTTCCAAAGCAAAATACGAGCCTATTTTGAAATGTAAGCAGAATAGTATTGCAATGTTTCTATCTCTTTATTTATTTATCCATGCATTCATTTATTCATTCATTCATTCATTTCTTAATTTTTCTTTTTAATTAATTGATTAATCTATTTATTTTCGACAAATTTACAATAAACTACTTTAATGTTATATCTGTACATGTATGAGGCTAAGCCTTAGGAGAGTTAGACAGTACATGTAACTCGTCGTAATACATGTACAAATTGTATCAATTCTGACCAACTGTTCGCCGCACTGACCTAGAAAAACACTCACTTTGGAAAGCTTTGGGCCGAATGTCAGGGAGGAAGTGAGAATTTCTTTGTCAGATACTAAGGAGATGATTCTTTAGTATTAGACCAGCATCATTTAGTTGCATATGCCGTTGGGAAAAAAGCCAAAGTAAAGTATTGGATCACCTAAGTTTTTGTATGGGTGAGGAACGTGTATTTTTTTCTCCAAAAAGACTTTTACTTTATAATTGGAAAAATCGATCAAGGATTATTTTAGTTCTGTGGCGAACTTCTTTTTTTTTAAATAGATTCTTGTCAACGTTTAATCCTCGTGTAGTTTGACAATGAAAATTACGGTAAACGTATTACATTTAGCTTTGTATTATTATTTAAGGCTTTTGGTGGAATGCAGCGTCTGATAAATCAAGAACTCAAATTGCTATACGTCTATGTATTTATACATGTGGCACATTCAGAAATGTGCCAAATTTAATCTACGCTAATTTTTTGAAAAATCAATCAATAATAATCAATTATTTCGCCAAGTATAGTACAGGCTAAATATAATACATTTACAGTATCATTAGAAGTTTGAATTATAGGACAGGGAGATAAAAGGAACCAAACGCATGTAGTGGAACTCGAAAAGATTTGTTTGAATTCAGGACACATGATACAAAAAAAAAAAAAAAAAAAAAAAAAAATGGATGTCTGGAGTGGTATATATTTTTTTAACTATGTTGGTTGTAAATGATGCGAATAATAAATTTCTAAAATATAAAGAAATTGTAAACTTTACATGATCATATTCAAATACTCTTTATTAATCTAAACATTTTTTGTCACTTTAAATCCCATTATTGTGAAACTTTGAATGAAAAATCAAAATATGTGCTGTTGATCTTGTTCATTTTACTTGTACATACATGAATTAAGTTGTTATTTTCAAGATTTTTAATAAAAGTCTTTTTTGTATTATCTGTCCTAAAACCTTCAACAGTTCATTGCGTATGCATTTGAAAAACAAAATAGTAAACGGCTTCGATCATTGTATCAAATTCATCATGTACTCAAAGCAAAGTTTTTTACCTATATGTTTGCATTCGATGCATATTGTTAATCAAATTTTAATTTTGTTTTCTTTCTATATTTACAGTTATATTAAATGTTGTTGATGTTTTATACCTTTAAAGATTTTATGTGTTCATTAATGAAATTGTTAAGTATATATGTTGCAGAATTCATTTTAGTTTCCAAGAGTTTGAACATACAATAAACCATAAAATCTTTAATCAATTAAACAAATTAAACAATAGAACATGGTGTATTCTGTCATGGAAAAGAAATTTCCAGTTGCTCATTTAAAAAATGTGTTTCTGTTAAAACTAATTTTCTTGTCCATAAATTTCTGAATGTGACTAACGCATCAAGTCTTGACAGATCCAATATTGGAGTACACTTTTGTGGTAAGTTACCCCTGTATCCCGCCGCAGTGTTCTTTGTGAAGACTGTCCCTCATAGTTGTTTGTTTAAGGTTAAATGAGGGGCGTTGACAGAGTTTAAAATTCTCCTTATCCCCACGGGGGACCTAGCTGGAAACCTTTTGATATATTATACTTACGAATGATATGTTACATATTGACGATGCCTGAATCGGGTCGATTTCTTCGTGTGTAAGTAAACGATATTTCAATGTGTCTTACTCATACATGTTATTTTAATATGTTATTTCTGCACAGAAACAGATTACTTTTAAATCTATGAAATTTCTTAATGAATATCTTTTTGAGAGAACTTAGTTTGTAATTTAATTTGAAATAGTTGGGGAAAATATCGCTGGAAGAAAATTTTTTCTTATGGCATTGTTTTTGTTTTAATAGTATAAAAAAATAATTAAAGAAACAGAACAATGACGACATAAATGTAGGGAATTAACAGTTATCCCTTTTAAAGTATATGTAGTTTTGTTTTTATTTTTGTTATTTGTTTTTTGTTTTTGTTTTGTTTTTTTTTTTTAAATTTCTTGATATTTAAAATAAAATAAGAGACTTTATGTAAAAAGTTTTTAAGTAAAATATCAAAATCAATCTTTATTTTCTTCAAATAAATGAAAATTATTAAGTTAATGAAAAAAAAATAAATGATGGAGCCATAATGATTCAGAAATAGGGCATTTTTGCCGCCAAAAAACATACTTCGTAACATCGTTTAAATGCATTAAAAAAACTCACCTGACGATTAGATTAACAAAATTTTGCCTGAATGAAAAAATATGAACGAAAATCCTTGAAAGATTAGATTTATGCGCTAAAAATAAGACTAATCGTTGGCTGAAAACCGAAAATGAAACATTTATGAATCAACAATATTAGATTTAATGCATGTAATTGAAAAACTCCTTGAAACAGCTTTTAAAGAAATCTGCAGAAGATAAGTTATTTGGTTTGTTTTCCGAAGACGTATCTGCATCATCTGTAATTTACATAAAACATTTCGATCCTTTTGATTGGGTTACAAAAATAGTTATTAAATATACTTTTTATTATATTGTTTACAATTTTATTGATCATGTTTAATTCTTAAATACTTAATTTTGTATAAAAAGCATATTTTATGTCCATATATATCCTGTGTTCATGCACATATTACAACGTTGAGATGCATAGTCAATCGATATAAAAATTATTCACAAGACTATGTACATAAAAAATATATAAACTGTCATCTTAGTCAAATTTAGTCATATTTAAAAACACATATGAAATGTTCAAAACCAGTTGGACCTTTATCAGCATAAGGATTTTTCCATGTGGTTTATTTCTGAAAAGTACTTAATCCAAGAAAGTTTTCCCTAAAAAATGCACAAAAATATAAATTTCCAGAGCAATGATGAACGATTAGAATCAAATAAAAAATAAATGCATATTGGTAAATGGAAGGCACAATTTCTTTAGATATGGCACATGGTCATGAGGAGTTTAACTATCAAAGTTGCACAGTGTTACTTATTACTTCCGAAAGGACGACGGACTCGGTAGAGCTGCCCCTGGATACTTAGTTGCTATGGTCCCATAGGACATTCTCATGGAATCCATCATGCATTGACTGCACGCGCACGGCACGGGCCATCGATGTGGGAGCATATGTCGCTCGTGAGGATTCGGTAATGGCGTCATTGGGCCCTCTTTAGAAGAACTAGCACGAATGCTTTCAACCTCAGCAGGGTGAAGTTGATGCTGGAGCTGAGTAATGGAGGATACCGGGGAAAGATGTGGGGAAGGAAGGTGGTGGGAATGGTGCAAGTGGGCAGCAGGTGGTGCTCTTGGTCTGTTTGGGTGGTTCTGGTAAATGTCACTCACTAGTTTCTTCATCTCTTCCAAAGAATTGTTTAACATAAGTATGTAGTTCTTGGCTAATAATAGTGTAGCAATTTTTGAAAGTTTTCGAACTGATGGTCCATGAGCATAGGGCATCACTTCTCGTAATCCATCCAAAGCTGAATTTAAATCGTGCATTCTCCTTCTCTCTCTAGAATTGATCTTAAGTCTTAGATCTTGTACCTCTTTTTCGTCCATACACTTGCTGGCAATAGTTTTCTTCTTTTCACTTTTGTACTGTGTCTTATCATTACTTTGATGACGGTTTTCGGGATATGTAAACACGGAAGACATAGAAGTGGAATTCTGAGAATCGTCGCCGTCATCAATGGTCACGTCGTCCGAGTCCAACTCAAACGATGACGTCGATGACATATTTCTCTCTGTCGTCTGCTGCGCGGGGTCGCTCATATCCTCATCAAACCTTACGTCGACAAGCACTCTCAACACGTTTACAAGGTACTGAAAAATGAACGATTCCTCCCGAATCAATTTGTCCCCACTTCAGTGACAATGTCTTGAATTTGTTTCGTATTCAGACAGTGAAATCAGCCGTCGGTGAGATTGGCAGACCCTTCACTTCCAAAGAAAACGGAGGGCGGGGCTAGCGTTTGAAGCAGCATACAAGAATCACATTCCTTCCTAGGGGCTATGCCTTGTGTGTGTCTGCCCAATTCATACTAAACCGCTTTAGAAGAATACTCTTGAAATAAGACGGATGAATAATGCTAAAGATCTGATTAACTTTTATTTTGGTATCCCAGATTATTTTTCGAACAATATTTGTAGCATGGCGTTTTGATTATGAATAAAGCCATTGATCGAATTCACTTTCACTATTTTATATATAAAGCAATTGTTTTGTTTTGTTTTGTTTTGTTTTGTTTGTTTGTTTGTTTGTTTTTATTTATTTATTTATTTATTTATTTATTTATTTATTTATTTATTTATTTATTTTTTACTTTTGACAAGTTAGTTTTCATTAGAATCATTTTTTAAATGTTATGTAAGATTTACCATGTTATGAGAATTAATCTATTTTATCCTTTGCTATAAAAACTATTTTATTTATACCTTGCTATAAGAATTAATTTATTTCTTTAAATTTTTTACATTTGAAGAAAATTTACATTTCTATGGCTACCAATAAGACACATACATGTTCTTCAAAAAGACATAAAATAGTGCAGTTATACACAATTTAAAATTTCAGTAAAAAATCATTTTTTTTCCCCTCCTCCTCTTGTGATTTGAACATTTAGTTGTGTCATCTTGGTCATGCTGGAATATGGTTTTATATTCAGTCTCTAATGTGTTTGAGTTAAAGGCCCCAAGATCAGAACCTGAGAATATAATGAAGCTGATTTAATTTTAAATATCTTCAATTTTGTTTAAGAAATTTAAAAAAAAAAAGGTTCAAGTTTGTATATAATATTCAAATTAAAACAAGCGAAGAAAAATTTGTTTTATTTTCAAAATAATTTCAAAAGTTATTATAATACTAATTAGAAATTTTGACTAAGTCTGTTCTCCGTTTATAATCCTGGGCCCTGATCGCTGATCTTTTTTTTTTTTTTTAAAGTTGTTCTAAATGTTTCAAATTTACTCCCATCAAGTAAATTCAAAATTGAGAACATGGCAATAATGTACATTTTAGATCCCCCGAATCTTAGATCGTGTAATAGATTTACTTTCATTGTCATCAACGCTGGTTTTGACATCGGAACAAAAAAGTTGTAAATAAATGCTCTGAAAGGCGTGTGAGGTACATGTACATGTATAAGTCATGAGCTAAACTTATTTTAGGAAATTAAAATTCAATAAAAATGACATTTTTTTTACAACCGTGGATATTGATACGAAAAAAGGCTTTAGGGCTTTAAAAACATGTGTTTTATTTAATTTCTTTATGATAAATAAAATTACTTTTTGATATTTCAAATAAGGCTGGTGTGCTTCGCATTTCAAACCTGATTTTATGAAAAATTGAAATGTACTCACTGCACGCATATCTAAGGCCAAGAATACACTGTATTGTTGAACGGAATTACATTTAGAATTAGAAAAAAATGGAGCGTAAAAATTCTCTTATTCTTGAAATACATATGCAAGATTTTTTAAAGGTGAGTGTATATGTAGTTTTTAAAAGCAGAGTTTAATGGTATCCGTTGTGGACGACATGCAGATACAAAACTATTGAACTCATTACAGTTTACTAATTAAAGGAAATGTTTTTTTTTTTTTTTTTTAACTTGATTCACCTTGAATTTTTACTGTTTCTGAAATTCTTTAAAATTTACTTTGTATTCTATACAGGATATATAATTCATTCTTATTATTTTACTAAAGTAGTCAAAAGTAGTCAAAATGAAGATTTAACTGATAAATGATAAGCATGCCAAAAAGACATACATGTACATGTTTGGGGATATGCTATATGAATGAGACAACATGTACCTCGATGAAATACTGTTCATCTCATACACGGGGTGGGTTGGGAGGGGGTGTCGTTGGACTGAGTCTGTCTTTTGGTTGTCAATATCAGACAACAACCCGACATGAGAATGGCGGGGTGTGTTCGATGTTTTATTTTGATTACCCAAATCCCGCACTCCCGTGAAGTTAGGACTTCAAAACGATGATGAAAAATCTGTCGCCCAGGAAATAAAATACCGCACCGGTCAAGGGGTAGGGCCGGGATGAATGAAAATCGGCGATTTATTGGGTAATTCAACACGATTTTCCCAATAAACTCAATCAACGAATAACGACCTATCAATGTCTGTCTAACTTAATCGCGGCGGATATGATAATTTATTCCCGGTTCCTGGACTCATATTTTAGCCATTAATGTGGTTTTGAGTGAACAGGGGGTCAAGATTTGCTTTGTCTCTTTGCCTGTTATTCAGGGCGGGCTCGAGTAGTTAGGTGCTGTCGCATGCCATGCGCAGTACTTAGGGAGATATTTGAAAATCTCAGAAATATTAGATTTTGAACAATGATCAATCTTAAAATCATCACCGTTTTTTTTTTTTTTTTTTTTTTTTGGTCACAATGATAAAAATTTAAAATTATGTACAAAGTTAATCTATCTTACTGATAGTCTAAACTGGGACTTGAGACTGGAGACTTCTTTATTTCACTAAAGCTCCCAACATGCATGGTAGTGTGTTAGTAGAATGAAAATTCAACAAATGAACAAATCAACATGTGAACAGTTAACATAATAAACTATAAAAAGATCATCTATGATATGGACAGTACTGACAGTTGTTAAAAACGTTTAATGTTTACATTGTAGGAAGGTCAGGTATGAAATTATTTAAGAACAGCTTTACAAAACTTGGTTAAACCTGTTAGTTTTATATAACAGAATCAAATATATATTTATATAATCAAATCATAAAGTCTTAAGAAGATAATTATTGTATTTGGATTCATATAAATATTGGTTTCGTCTACGTACAGCCAACTTCAAAGGAAGTTTTCTCCCCTGGTCATAACATGTATCAGGCAGCTTTTGTTTTCTGGTATTTTTGACATATTGATTAATGATGAAACTATAGGAAAGGAAAAAAAAGTGTTTGCAATCAATATCACCAATAAAATAAGAATGATGAAATGTAATGAAATACATCTTGCTCAGGGTCAAATTTACGACTTTTAATTGGTGGGTGGTTTGTGGTGGGGAAAGGGGGCACGATAAGAACAATCATTATTAGGTTACCAAGAAATATTCATTTCCTATACTTCGAGTGCAATAAATGACATGAAATAAGTTCAAAATGAACAGATATAAATTTATGCTTCAATTTCCAGATCTGGTGGATTCTCCGCACAATATGAACAAATAATGAGCAAATGAGAAAATCTAAGAAAGTCTTTCCGCTTAGCAAGCTCGGAAAAGCATCTCGTTATCAAGGTTGTTTTTCTATGCACGGAAAGTCCACCCGAGACCGTTCTGTAAAAATGTAATAAAATCAGTTGTATTTGATTTCCAGATTTTACAAGTATAGTCTATATCATGATCACGGATTTCATAATCATTTTAAGAGGGTATTGGTCTAAATATATGGAATAAATAATGTAGTTAGACGAACGAATGGATGAAAATTGAACATATGTACTGATTTTCCCCCTAAAGATTGATGCTTGGAGTTCACTATATTTTTTAAATCAAAAATATACACGAACAAAGTTATGGAAGTGTCGTTTACTGATTTTTATTTGAAAATTAAAATAAGTACACGACTATATAGTCGTGTACTTATTTTAATTTTCAAATAAAAATCAGTAAACGACAGAAGTAAATATTTGGGTAGAGTTGAAAGTTGATGGAGATTTCGAATTTTATATGGCGTATTTCTTATAAGTTAAGACTAACTAAAATTAAAGAGATCTTTCTATTTGTTTTATTACTTTATATAAAGATAGTACTTTCCTGTAAATTACACAATTTAAATCAATCACGTTTCAAAGATATTAGAAATTTAAAACAATAACCGAGTTATTTACCGACTCCGCATTTAAATGACAGGCACAGTTTAAGGTCAATTTAACTATGGAAACATGAAGTTATTAACATTCAAAATTGGTGAAAATTTGAATTAATTTGAATGTAAATAAACATATATCACGTTTATATACACTCGACGTATTTTTATTTTTTAGCTTAGATACGCCATATATGTAGCTTTAACAGCATTTAAACATAATTCTATTTAAATATTATTTCTGAAAGTTATTCAGAAATAAGGATTGGTATAAATCTTTTCTCGTGATTAAAGATAAATTTACATGAATGAAATTGGTTTACAGTGTTTAACAGATTAAAACAATTCACTCTTGAGAGTTAATAAGAGTTGTTCCTCTTTGACAGCGAACTCTTTTATATGCTGAGGTTGGAATAGTACATTGAGGAAAACAAGGAGAAAATATTGCACAAGTGTTGACAAAATGAGTGTTTATTAGTGTATAATACATCGTGAATAACCACCACAATGCCTATCAAATGTAACCTCTGTGATTCTGGAGCTATTTTGAAGCGACCGAAAACAGTAAGTCTGTGAAAAAAATCATTTTTTAAAAGACACATGTGACATTTCGAATTTTCTCCTCTTCATTTTAAAAATTAATTTTTTCCTATATACATGACATGTGTATTTCAAGAAAAACAGCGAAAATATGAAACGTGATTTAAACATTTCTTTCAAGTCAAAGTTTATTGTATTTGTGCATCGATCAATTGGACATATGATCTAGATAAGGAAAATTAGAACATTGTTCATGCATCTGACTGCTTTTATTGATTTTCATTATCTCTATCCTACGGTATCACATTAATTTTTCAATTGAAAATAAATAAATTCAAGTGGACAAAAACCATGGCCAAAGTTTCTTCATGTGAGTCATGGCAGTGATATTGCTGTTGGTGAAATGTAAATTATGTTGGGAAAAGTTTTTGTTGTGGAGCACATTAAATGTCTGATTTGTTTGCTAATGTAAATACCCAGATCATTTTCATTCTGAAGTCAACTGGGAAACAGCAGGCTACCAATTTAACGAGGGTTGCTTTTCTGCAAATAATTAGGTAGTTTTTCCAGTAGAATGCTGGGACTTCATAAAGGATTTAATAGAATATTATTTCATCAGCTGTCCAAAGTTAAATGCTATCGGTACATAAAATATGTCTATGGTCTGTAAAGTGATTCCAAGCAGTATAAAAGCGGACCTAGAGGGTCCAGGGATCCGTCACCTCTATGATGAGATTATCGTATAATTAGAGCTGAATTTGAAACCGATTCTATGCATCTTATTTTAAGGAACTGAAAAGTTCTACCTTTGGAATCAGTCTTCACGTGTCAGATTGGAAAGGAGCACCTGGGTATTAGCGTAGCATATATTTCCCCAAGAGTGAAAAAACTTAATTAAGGCAAGCGGCTCTGGTTACTATTTTAAGCCCGCCCCTATTAGATATTTAACCCCAAAAGCCAAATACATATGGGAAAGAGAGGGAAAAGCATTGAGCACCAGTTGTTTTTGTGAAGATCTTTGGGCCTGAAGTAATTGCTTTGATGTTTCACAACCTTAGATCTGATAGGGCTCAGTCAAGACCATCTTTATCCTGGATTTAAAGAGTTGCTGCAAGGCAACACAGAAAGGGGCATGCTGTGAAAATTGGAAGTTGGAAGACATAGGGCTGGAAGCAACTTACAGAGCCAGTATTTAATTGTAATTTTTTTAAAAAAAAGATGACTCCCAAATTAGGACAAGCACTAGCAGTATTTAGAAAGAAGTCAGAGATTTTCGATATGGCTCTGGCTAATATTCATTCTCTGCATGTACATGATGTATACTCTGAATACATAGATTTGTAAATATTTACATGTCATTGTGTGTTCAGAAGGAAATATTTTTTCCTCTTCATCTGAACCTGAAGACTGCTACAGGAGCCTTCACAGAATGCACGGCAGCTTCTTTTGTAAAACCTAAGTTAATAGTTATATACACAAGTCATTTCATACAGTATTTATCATGACAATTGTACTAATTTTGTCCAGTTTTAAAAAAAAATTATTACCGATAGGCATGATTCCAGTTGTAGTGGACCATTTCTAACATGTCTAATGTAATGTAATATTCACTGATTACAAAAATACTACTCTCCGCTGTCATAAGTGTTTAGCTGATGAGTTAATGAATGCTTTTTTTGAGTTTTGAAATCAAAATGATAATATTGTGATCATCACATGTCAACTCAGTGTCTTTTTAAATGATATTTATAAAAATTTTCCATTTAAGAAAAGGTTTTAGACAGCAGGCTAGAGTGCCAATGTAAGTCCTCTCCACCCAGTTTCAATTCTGATTTTGTGGCGTCATGGCTTTGAGCTTTTGTTGATACTATCAAGATCAAATGACAGAAAGACTTTGTCATCCCTATGAATTTGTTGTAATAAACATGTCGGAAAACCTTGAAATGAAATTGATTCAAGTGTGAGTTTTCTGTCTGTTCTCCCAATGGAACATTTCAAAAACCTCCTGTCCAACATCTGCACAAATACATGCCCGACTACGAAAATCCCAAATTAACTAATTAGGAATAAATAAACGCACGCTTCATGTTGAACGATTTAATTTGCTTGGACAATGGGATGCGCCCGGCGAGTGTCTCAAATCCCGAGACCAGAGTGACAATCTACGCACATCAGTGCAAATCAGGCGCAAGAGATCGAGTCTTACAGAATGCTGTTAATAAGTTTTCTGTCAGGGAGGGAAAAATTTGTCAGTGGGGATCTGTCTCCTTGACAAGATCTCTTTGTCATGCTTCAGTGATTTGTCCTGTTGGAGATAAACAGATTTTAAATAGCATTAAATACTGGGACTCGCTGATGAGATTGTTTTGTGCGTAATCATTGGAGGCCTAAATTAGTGTCCAGGGCTATTTTACTCAGTTGATGACCAAATCTAGTCCCTGGCTGTTTAATTTAAAAATGGGAGGGTCCAAGTTGCCCTCATCCTATTTAGCTTTAAGTGAATGCTTACAATAATGTACATTGTTACTCTATCAATGTATGAATGAACTTTATTTTACGAAGTATTCTTCTCTTATAACCTTACCATCATTTTTCCCATTTACGTGCTCTGTATTGCTAGACCCTTTTGTGGGTTTGCAAACAATATATATATTGTAATTGGTAATTGCTAGAGCAAAATAATATTTGAAGTCTAAATCTCATTCTGTATATTCTTTTTATTAAATATTAGTTTTATATAATAAACATTGTAAATTTTGATTTGTTCAAGCAGACCAAAACAACAACAACAAACTTGACAAAATGACATTCATAAATGTTAAAACCATAAAGGACGGTAAATTCTGGTTAAATTTTGAAATTATTAAGACCTACGAGGGGTTATCAAAAAGTCCTTGGACTAGCCCCATAAAATTAAAACCACTTAAGGTATATCAATGTATTTTTAAACAATTAATAAGCATAATCTTTTCTATGTATATAATAAATTAAAAATAATAAAATTTATTTTTTAATAAATTGTTAATGGTTTTGTAAGCAATGGTATGTCCAGGCGGCGCAACCTCGAAGATGACGTTTTTTTCTACCTGAGTATTACTGAGAAAACTCTTATATGAGCTTTTGTCATCCAAAAATCCTGTTAATTCACTCATGTGGTAGGACACACTTGTGCCGTAAAATTTGCAATTTTTACCACATTCTGTAAGTTCTGTGAAATTTAACTGTAAAATCTATATGGAATGTCCAAACAATTAAGGGGTTGAAAATGACATCAAGAAGGGTGACGCGTTTCTTTTACCAGCATTCTTTAAAGTTTTACCCCTGGAAAAACTAGCATAGACCTAAGAAATGTTTAAACGGGCTACAAAGAAATAAAATGCATCCAGAGTACTTCTTTTTAAATGCCGAAAAAGATTCAGAGAAAGGAGAGATGCACAGTTAATGTCTATCTGTAGTCAGGGTTTTCAAAAGTCAGTCACGTCGAAATGTGACATTGATCATGTCACTGACATGACAGGTAGATATTAAACTCCGACCAGAAAATTATGCTGGCATAATCAAGTGAGGAGCGTTCCTTATGTATAAAACCATTTATTTTATCGTATGCATTGAAATCAGCCTGTCGTGAAATTGTAAAATCATATAGTTACATGATGCCTGGAAATATTTCACTGATTGGGAATTTGATGGCAAAAAAATGAGTGAAAATACCAGTTGTGCTTTTCATGTATTACAAGCTTATTTTTAATTTTTACTAGCCCAAGGGGCTACCTCTATGCAGAAAAACACTAGCCTGACCCCCAAAAATGGTAGCCCTGGGCGTCGGGCAATGCGAATTGCACACCCCTGTACATGTACCTGGTAAACAAGACCAGTTCAAATAGTTATTTAACTACAGGGAATCTCATCAAGTGTATGAAAAAGAGTGAGTGGACATTGAGAAACAATGACGTTGTCGGACGTCAACAAATTAAACAGAGACAGCACAGGGTGATCATATAATGTCTTTTTTATTTAATGATGATTTGGCAACTTATCAAGTTAAAATTTTCAACACTTCTTTAACTTTTGTTGGTTAATGTTCCTTATAAATTTTTTAAGCACAGACTACATAGTACTATTTTTATCGCATCAGTCCACAAACTTTTTGATAACCCCTCGTACAATAAAATATTGTTTGTTTTTTGATTGTCTACTGACCCACTCAAAATTTTTAAAACTATTTGTTGAGATGATTTCTTTGTAAATTTAAGTTTTCAGGGCATTGAAACTTTTATACTGAATATCTTCATGATTCCATGATTTATTACTATCCAAAAAAAAACCCCTGGGAACTGAGATTGATTGGTTTTCAAAAAAAAAAAGAAAAAAGAAAAAAAAGAAAGAAAAAAAATCCACTCTAAGAATTATGAGTTGGCAACTGCAAACAAAGAAATATTTAAGCTTGGCCTATATATGCATGAAGAACTTTTCCTTGTCTTTACAGGGAGATGCATTGTGTAAGAGCTGTTTTTACTTTGCCTTTGAAGAAGAGGTGCATAAAACCATCACAGATGCCAATCTTTTTGTTCGAGGGGAAACGGTAGCCATTGGAGCCTCAGGCGGAAAAGGTTAGGATTTTAAAACAAGAGGCCCATGGGCCACATCGCTCACCTGAGCACATTGGCTTGAATTTTAAACTACCTGATGATGCTTCCATGTCAATATAACAAATGGCTTTGTCGTACTTGAGAAGATTTTAAAAAAAATTTCCCATATATTCCTTTGTTAAAATTTGATCCCCCATTGTGGCTCCTCCCTATCCCAGGGGTCATCATTTGAACAAACTTGAATCTACACTACCTGAAGATGCTTCCATATCAATATGACTAAACATAACTTTTCTGTTCTTGAGAAGAAATATTTTTTCTATATGTTCTTATGTAAACTTTCCATCCCTGATTGGGCCCCACCCTACCCCTGGGGGTCACCATTTGAACAAAATTGAATTTACACTACCTGAGGATGCTTCCATATCAAAATGACTAATCATGGTTTGCAGTTCTTTAGAAGAAGATATTTTCCTTTATATTTCAATGTAAAACTTTGATCCTCACTTGTGGCCCCGCCCTACCCCCGGGGATCATGGTTTGAACAAACTTGAATCTACACTAGCTGAGGATGCTTCCATATAAATATGACTCATCATGGCTTTGCTGTTCTTGAGAAGAAGATTTTTAAAGATTTTTCCTATATATTTCTATGTAAAACTTTGATCCTCACTTGTGGCCCCGCCCTACCCCCGGGGGTCATGGTTTGAACAAACTTGAATCTACACTAGCTGAGGATGCTTCCATATAAATATGACTCATCATGGCTTTGCTGTTCTTGAGAAGAAGATTTTTAAAGATTTTTCCTATATATTTCTATGTAAAACTTTGATCCTCCATTGTGGCCCTGCCCTACCCCCGGGGATCATGGTTTGAACAAACTTGAATCTGCACTACCTGAGGATGCTTCCATATAAATATGACTCATCATGACTTTGCTGTTCTTGAGAAGAAAATTTTTAAAGATTTTTCCTATATATTTCTATGTAAAACTTTGATCCTCCATTGTGGCCCCGCCCTACCCCCGGGGGTCATGATTTGAACAAACTTGAATCTGCACTACCTGAGGATGCTTCCATATAAATATGACTCATCATGGCTTTGCTGTTCTTGAGAAGAAGATTTTTAAAGATTTTTCCTATATATTTCTATGTAAAACTTTGATCCTCCATTGTGGCCCCGCCCTACCCCCGGGGCTCATGATTTGAACAAACTTGAATCTACACTACCTAAGGATGCTTTCACATGAGTTTCATCTTTCCTGGCCCTATGGTTCTTGAGAAGAAGATTTTTAAGTTATGCCATTATTTTTTCACTAATTCCTAATTATCTCCCCTTGGAAGAGGGCTTGGCCCTTCATTTGAACAAACTTGAATCCCCTTTACCCAAGGATACTTTGTGGCAAGTTTGGTTGAAATTGGCCCAGTGGTTCTTGAGAAGAAGTCGAAAATGTGAAAAGTTTACAGACAGACGGACAGACAGATGGACAGACAGACGGACAGACAGACGGACGCCGGACAAAATGTGATCAGAAAAGCTCACTTGAGCTTTCAGCTCAGGTGAGCTAAAAATTGTACGATATTACTGAATGTTCTGATCACTTAATAATAATGTTTTACAAAGGGACTCGTATACACAAGAGTCAATAATAATTTTGCTTCTACCAATCAATGAAAAATTTGTATTTATGAATTTCAAAATGATGAACTTTTAGCTTTTTCTCCAATTAGAGTAAAACACAAATATAGGAAATTGCAGGATGACTGAAAGTGCTTCATGATCATATTGATATCAAGGAGATTATTTAGAGAAAAATCATTTTTGTAGTTTGAAAATAGTAGCTTGTTATGTCAAGCATGTCTTTTGCACTATCCATGCATGTTCACAATTAACATACTCTACTTATATGCTACTCTTTCACAATTACTTTAAGTTTGTCTTTTTCTGAAACACACATTTATGCTGTTAACAGACTCTACTGTGTTGGCTTACGTCCTTAAAGTCCTTAACCAGAGGTATGACTATGGCGTTAACCTGGTGCTTCTGTCTGTGGATGAGGGGATCACTGGGTACAGGGACGATTCCCTAGAGGTAAGCTGCCCTCATTCTTTTTTTTCTCATGTCCCTTCCAGACTGGGTTAAGGAATATTTAGTACAGCTGTCTTTCGGTGGAATATTTGTTCAGTAAAACATTGGTTAATGGAATTCGTCAGATGTGGCTGAATAGTTGCATGTATTGTTTTTTTTTTAATTATTTTTGAGCTCTGACTGAAAGAAGATGTTTGTTGAAAAACTGAATTTGCATATGTTCACTTGTAAAAACATATTTTACTGTATGTTTTCGATGAGTCATTATCTGTCATGTAAGGTCATCAAAATCATGTATAAGATGAGCCTTAGATGTACTTGGGATTTTGGATAAAATTTAAATGATTTTGCATCTTAGCCACAGTGAAATATTTCATATCTACAACACTATTCACAGACCCTTGGCCTATTATTGCTTTGTAAAGTTGGGATTGTTTATATCACATTAGGCCACCTTTTTTATTAGTTGTTTTTTCGAGACTTTTTTCCCAAAAATTGGATTGGTAGAAGAAAAAAAATTAAATTAGAAACAAAAACTTACATAAGAATTTATTTTAAAAAAATGTATAAATTAACCCCCTCCTTCCTCCCCAAAAAATTAAAATAAAAAAAAATTCCCTCTTTCAACAGTGTTCAAAACTTCTTCATAAATAGAATTCAAGTTTTCTAGGTGTTAGAAAATTGCATAACACTTATATTTCAGTAGCTCAGTGGGGATCGAGTCCCACACCTTGAACATCCATTTTAATAAATATATGATATATTGATCATGTTGATAGCTAACCATCTTAAAATTTTCAGATTTAAGCTTTGAAAAATATTGCTAAATGTCTTATTTTTTGGGTTAAATTAGAAAAATTTTACAAAAATTCTATTTTTTTCAAATTGTCAAAAATTTGGGTCGGTCAGTTTTGAAAAACAACTAATAAAAAAAAATGTGGCCTTATCTGGAATCATACCTCAGACTGGGGTTTGTATCCTTACACATAACAAAAGATAAAGACAAAATGAACAAGCACTTTGAGAGTATTGCATTAGCAATACTAGTCCCCTACCGGCAAGTGTAATCTGGTTCCCGATGAAAATTGAAAATGCCATAATTCCGTCAAAAATCAATGAAGCGGAACGAAATGCAAACTTGATCTATAACTCATCAAGGTAAAGTCACATACCAAAACTCAGCTCAATATCTGCTAGCATTTAGAAAAAAATTGCGGAAAACCGTGAAAAATTGAAAAGGTTGTAATTCCGTCAAAAATCATTGAAGTGGAACGAAATGCAAACTTGATCCGTAACTCATCAAGATACACTCACATACCAAAAATCAGCTCAATATCTGGAAGCATTTAGAAAAAAAGTGTGGAAAACCAAGTGGGACAGACTGACAGAGGTAGAGCTAGACAGACGGACAGACAAACGGACGGACAGACAGACTCAGAGGAAACCTATAGTCCCCTCTGGTTTCACTGGTAGGGGACTAAAAATGAAATACAGTAAAACTTGTCTAATCTGGATGTTGTGTATTCCAAAATCTTGCAATGATGAAAACATTTTATACTATTATAATAGATTCAAAAATATACAAGAGGAATTTAAAATTGCATTGTTTCAAGAGAAGAAGCATCACTTGTGAAATAAAATTGTTCACTTTTATTTTTATATTGCTGAAATCCATGTGAAAACTCTGCTTTAACAGTCCACTTACAAATTCATATTCTCGAGATTTGACGTCTACGAATCATTTTGCAATATTAAGTACTCATGTAAAATAAGGTATCTTCAGTAGTTCTTTTCAGTAAATTCAATTGTTTAAAATGTTGTCTAATCCAGCCACTTTCTATGGAACCTGTGGTTTCTGGATTAGACAAGTTTAACCATGATTATAAAGAATATTCAACAAGCAGGGATCGAGGGATCATTATTTGATAGAAAGCAAAGAAAACAAGTCCATCTTTCTATTGCCATTATATTAACAGCTCCCTTGAACACATAACAAAATTACAGATTTTGAGATTTTGAAATATTTGGAAATAGAATTGAAGACCTAATAAATTGTTTTTAAAACACAAAAGCTCTTTCAGCAAAATTAATCTTTGCAGACTGGTTTTCCCTTGGCTCTTCATTAATAAATGTATCGCATAGAAGAACTGGTTTACAGTGTTTTCATGTACTTGATTTTCTTCACTTTTCCACTGCGCAACTCAGCAGCGAAGAGGTTGTCTTTTGAGTCTACACACAAACCCCTTGGACGGTCTAGATTACAGTTATTTATGCAGCGGAGGAACTGTCCATCTTTATCTAGGATGTGGATACAATTCTTTTCACAGTCTGATGTCAGGATCAAACTCTGGCTGTCTGTTGTGATGCCATATGGGTTAAATGATCCAGAGGCAGTAGATGGATGGCCAGTGTACCTAAATCGTAGCTTTCCAGCATGACTGACCACTACCACTGCACGAGCTGAACAATCAGCCACACAAATATCCAGGTTCCTATTTTCACTGATGTGCTTGAGATAGTAGGAAGAATACAGTGGTTTACTCTCATCATCAAACTGAATGCTTTGTACCTCTTCATAACCAGAATATCGGACAACTTTTGATTGTTTACCATCATCACTGTCCATGACAACCAGAATATCTCCAGAGGAGCTACTACAGATATTGTTTGGTTTCCACTCCTGCAGTCTGATCACTTCCTGTATCTGTTCATTCTTCACTTTGTTCACAGTACGTCTAGTAGAGTCGATGTAAATTAGATTTCTATTCCTTGTCAGTGCTATATCCTGTGGCCATTCCCCTGACTTGGTTTTGATTGACTTCAGTAGTTTTCTCTGCAAGTTGTGGAGTTTCATGAGTTTTGTCTGCCCACATGTCCAGACTTCTTCATCACTGAGGCAAACAACACTCCGTAGTTTGTCCAAAGTTTCTATGGTTTTGATCAGCTTTGGTTCATTAAGCAGTGTGTAGCTGTGTTCTTCTGTTACCTTGGATAATTCTCTCAAGGAATCAAATTGTTGATAAATTTTTTCTTTGCTGATTGATTGAGGAGGAAAACTGGGTAATGAAGTTTTCAGCTTAGGAGGAAGTTTTATAAATTCATCATTTCTGGGTTTGTATGAAGAGATAAGGGAAATATCTTTGTTTGCTAGAATTTTCTTCATTTCAAGAATATTCTTTTTCACTTCAGAAATATTCTGGGTAATTTCTTTTTCCTGCTTGATAAGGTCAGCCAGGTGTTTGTTTTTCATGTCATCAATATCAGATTTGAGTTTGTTGACAATGGTGTCAATTTCTCTGTGCCAGTCTTCTCCATGATTAGTAACGGTTCTTGTCAGCATCTCAAAGTGTTTTCCTATGTTGGCTTTCTCAGACTTTAACTCAGAGAAAATTTCTTCATATTGTGGACCAATTTTTTCCTCAAGTTCTTTAAGATTTTTCTCCAGTTGTTTTGTTTCAGAGCTGAGATTTTGTTGAATACCTATAATTTTATGCCCATGATGTTTACTCGACATGATACAGGTATTACAGACAGAAACTTTACATTTCTCACAGTAAAATTCACAAAGCTTTGTGGCATGATCTGGACATTCCAGGTAGTTAGAAGCTGAACTCTTTGCTGTGTATGGTACGACTCTATGACTTCTGGATGTATCAGAGAGGTGCTCTCCAACACAGGCCTTACACAGTTTAATGTGACAAAGTTGACAGAAGCTCTGTACTAAATCAGTCTGACATTGATCACAACGGAGGACATCTTGAGCACTGTACCTAGGGTCCATAACTGCTGTGTTGGTCACATGACCAGCTGAAACTATAAATCAGAAAAATGGGTATAAGAGAATGCTCAGAAATTGCAAATTCATTAATTGAATTTGGATATGTTTAAACTGTGTTTAATGAACTAGAACACAAAATACTTATTAAAGAATTCTGTTAATGTGGAAATTAACACTTTGAGGTAATTACAGCTATAAGACCTACTGGGTTAAAAAATGTATTTGTGTTGGGTTACCCGACTGATCTTAATTTTATGCGTCAATCCAATTTCTCATTGTAAAACGTTTAAATTGTATGTATATGCATTTTCTTCAAATATTACTGTTTCTAGGCTATAAAATAACTTTTTACATGTAAATAGCCATTTTTATAGCTATCAGGTAGATTAGGGGGAAAAAAGATGTTACTTATATGGCAAGAAGAAGAGAGCTTCAAACAGTCTTTACAAAATTACATTTACAAAGTTCTGCCCTTATGTGAAAAGAAATGAAAATTAAAAACCAAAACCTACATACCAGTCCTATTTTTTATTTATTTTTTTTTTATGGCATGTAATAGAAAGATTTTTTTCCTTGTGCCTAAGAAATTTATTGTGTGAATATTCCTCTGCATGCATACCAATATCTTTGAAGTACATTTTTCATTCAGTATTAACATTATTAAGGATACATTATAATGGTATTGCAGAAATAACCACTATACCTATTTTGCCTAATTAATAAAATGAATCAGGCTTTGAAGGATTTTCTAAATTTTTGAAGTTTTCATATGGTACAATTTCTCTGTTGAGAGAAATTATCAGAATGAAATGTGCTAAAGCTATGTAAAATTGTCTTTCCTTACCTATAAATCCAACATGGCTGGCCTCTAATATAGTGTCCAGCTAATATGCATAGAATTCTGAATTTTAACCCTTGATATTTGGTCAGGTGATTTAAATAGCTTTAAATACCCTGTAAACTATGGATGTTTTCTAATTTAAAAACCTTTGAATACTCAGTAGATATATGATTTAAAAACCTTGCAGAAATATCTGCAGAAAAATACTGATCAATTTTGGACAAACCAAAATATTTATAAAATTTGTATATATATAGTTTCAGAACTTGTCTCATTAGGAATGTACCTTATATAAACAATCAATGCATCTTTTAATCAGTAGGGAAGTATTTGCTGTTTACATCAACAGATGGTTAGGAGCTAGTTGAAAGTTTGTACAACAAATAATTTAGGATCTCTACTACTGTATATTAAAGCATCTCATTAGTTGAAACATATTTATCTTAGCCTAGCACATTTCTTGATCCAGAGTGAGATTCTAGTGAGTTGATGATTACAAAGCAATGGTAAAAGTCCAAGTAATAAAAAAAAAATTAAAAAAAAAAGGAAATTGAATAACCTCTGGCTGGTGTTTTTGGTGATAATTGTCCTGCTTATTCAGAGGTGGCAAAATGGTCAGCTGAATCTGTCCATTACATACAAATTTATAATATTATATCTATGATACATGTAGCTGTAAACACAATGTATGTGTAAATATTATATTTGATTGTTACTTAAAGTTTTCCTGATTGTTTCAGACAGTAAAGAGGAATCAACAACAATATGATCTGCCTCTGAAGATTGTGTCATATGAAGAGTTGTATGGATGGACCATGGATGCTATTGTCAAACAGATTGGTCTGAAAAATAACTGTATGTATCTTATACGAAATATACCAGTAGTTACAAATTTAAAACTATCAAAGGTCTTTATAAAAAAAAAAAGAGAATATACAATGGTTTCATATGAAACAAAATGCAAGGATTTTCCTCTACTTACATTACTTTAAAAAGAAAAATCTACCGGTAACTTTTAAAGAAGTTAATAGATTTACATGGAAACAAGGTAGAAAGTCAGCATTTGAGATGTTTCAAACTCTTGGATATCTTGATGTTGTCTGCACAGGCAGTCAGACTAGAGATACTGAGATTTGTCCATAGTTTTAAAGGTCTGTTGATTCAGAAGTGAATTCTGTGAAAATATCTGATACTTTTAGGTACATTCTGTGGTGTGTTCAGGCGCCAAGCCTTGGATAGAGGTGCCCTTCTAATGAAAGTGGATAGGATAGTAACAGGTACTGCAAGGTGTAGACAGTTAATGATACATCTATAACTTTTGCAAAATGTCACATGAAAACATAATCTAAATTATTGTGGATTAAAAACAAGTTTTATCCATTTCCTTCACTCTGTAGTTTCAAGACTTGTTCTTTTTCCTCATTTTTCCTCTTTTGAACAAGTAGTTTTGATAGAGTTTGTCTTTCATTATTCTGTTTTAATTTTCAGGACACAATGCGGATGACATTGCTGAGACTGTGATAATGAATGGTAAGTTAAACATACTGAAAATGAACAACTACTGAAAAATCACTTATTTTCGTGGGGTCAAATTTTCAAGATTTGATGAAAAATTACTGGTTAGAGGGCGGTGGCAATGGAAGTCGGAATCCGCTAAGGAGTGTGTAACAACTCACCTGCCAAATCAACTAGCCCTGAAAATGGATGGCCCTAAAGTGTCGCACCTATACTGGCCGTCGCCGCAATACAAGCACACAGTGTGACAAGCGGCCACGAGTAAGAGGGCCGTCGTAGTGAGCTTTGAAGCTGCAGGCATGAGCCCGGGTGGAGCAATTTTATGGTTAAAGGAGAAATGTTATACTGCAGTGTGCAATTTTCACATTTCGTACATGAATTCATGGGTCTTTTCCTAACAAGAAAAACGGCAAAAATTAAAATCCATCAAAAATGAGTGATTTCACAGTAAGATGTTTGGAAATTCATCACTAACTTTTTGATTATGATTTCATAATGACATAAAGTTTTAAATTTGTGCGATAAATTTTGACTTTGTATATAATTACAGTACTGAGAGGTGACATTGGAAGATTACAGAGGTGTACAGCCATCACCACGGTAACAAAATAAACATCAGTGTCAGATGTAAATTACAGATCAGTAGCAAGACAGAGAATAATCTGTTATAAATCTGGGCTGCCTTAAAGATCATAGTGGCTACTTAGCTTTACATAGCTGCTACAATCTTGAACGATATGCTAGCCTAGCTATGATAAGCATTATTTGTACAATGTGTTCAATATGACCTACATGTAGATATCTAGCCTAGCAGTTAGGCTAGCTGCTCCATGTACCTTCTTGAATGCAGCCATGCTTAGTTATGAATGATAAACTGATAACAAAATGGAACCTAATGATTTAGAAATGGTAGAAGTACCAGGTAAAAACATCATTGAGAGGTTTTTATTTTGGAAATTATTTGCAATATTATTCAGTTATTGACTAGGACAGTATCTCCTTCAAAGCCCCAATCATTTACTCGGTTGTAAAACTTGATTTTTTACATGGACCACTCAGTTCAACATAGGAAATATTACACTTCTTTTGGTATAGATTTATATAGGGAAAATTTTTTAAAGGTATAAAATAAATATTTAAATGTGAGTTTGAAGAACTACAAGAGAATTTTAGACTATGATCTTTATTACAGGGCACTGAGGGAGCCCTTCCCAGAAGTAAACCATTCAAGTATACATACGAGAAAGAGATAGTCATGTAAGTCAAACCTCTAGATCATATGAAAACTGATAAATCCACCACTGGTAAGGCAGGAGAAACTATAGGTTTTAACCTTTCTCAATTGCTGAACTATAGAATGTTTGTAGATTATACACATTTATTTTTATATCTTAGAGAAGACATGTCAGTAAAATTAAGGAAAACATGAATATAGTCAAACCTCGTTATCTCGAACTAAAAGGGACCATGAAAATACTTCAAGGTAATGGAGGATTTGAGATATCCAGGGTAAAATACTTAAGGAATAAGCAAATGGGACTTCAAAATACTTAAGGAATAAGCAAATGGGACTTCAAAATGACTTCGACATATCCATGGTATTCGAGATATCTGTGTTCGAGATATCGAAGTTCAACTGTACATAATATATATTGTTTCCTTTTACTAGGTATGCCTACTTTAAGAAGCTGGATTATTTCTCCACAGAGTGTATATATTCACCTAATGCTTATAGGTAAGATAAGGGTATGTCAGTGTAATATGTTCAAAGTATCATTCTAATTTTTGTCCATAAGCTTTTCTTCATTATTTTGTTGGTTTTTTTTACTGTCTCTAGGGGATTTGCAAGGGCTTACATAAAAGACTTGGAAAAGATCCGACCAAGTGCTATAATTGGTAGGTCAAAATTTCGTACATTCAAGTTCAAAAAACATTATTATTGTAAGAAGAAGCAATGCATGTGAGGGTGTATTTTGGACACCTATTACAATTTATACGACAAAAGTACCTCTTTAGAGTATTTTGGCAACTAGCCCCAAAAAACATCCTTATTTATCTGAACAAACACAGCACGTCCAGTTAAAATCAATAATTACAATGGAGAATTAGTTTATTTAAGGATATATAATAAAATGTCCATTTCTTTAACAGTGTGAGAAGATAAATTGTCTCAGTAGTGATTTGTATAATTTCAGATATCGTTCACTCTGGAGAGAGTCTGTCTGTGAAGAAAGCAGTGAAACTACCAGTACAAGGTACCTCTTTCTGATGAATGGTAACTTTTTGCAAGCATAATTCTTAAAGTCAAAAAGAACATGAAATTGGATAATTAAACAAGTTCATACATATTCAAAATATATGCTTGTGGTTGATTTTAAGGTCACCTAAGTCACTCAGGTGACTTATTGTTATATTTTTCGTCTGTTTTCATGCGGCAAGCATTGTACATCGATGATAATTTAAAACTTTTGAACATTTTCAGCTTCTTGAACCACTCAACCAATTTTGGCATACAGCACCTATGGGTGAAGGGGAACAAAAATTATGAATTCCATAGTCCCTGTCCCTCTGCCTTAGAGGTGGGCTTATCCCATCAAAATTAGTGCTATCTTTAAAAATCTTCATTACTTTTGGACATCAAGCAGTCAAACTGTTGAAATAATTTTAATAAGCATTTAGCTCTCTAGAAAATAAAAATCTGAATTTCTTGGCCCAATGGTCAGGGGTTCTGAAGTTATGGTGGGGCTCTAAAGATCATATACTGAACATGCATAAATTCTTTAAAAATCTTCTTCTTTCCCCGTGTGTATTAATGTAGATAAACTATGTGCATGGTTATGATGATTAAGGGTGCCTCTTCTAAAATTGTGAAATTTGTGGTCCCAGGAACATGGGTTCTGTTAGAAGGTGGGGGAGGGGGTCTATTGATTATATAGTGAAAGTGCATTATTTCTTTAATAATCTTTTTCTCTGCTCTTGGGCATTAAGCAAACAAACCAAAGGGATGGTTATTAGGAACAAGGGTGCTTCTTCCAAAATAGTGAATTTGATGGCCCCTGCATTCTGGTGCATTTCTGTAGATGTGCTTGTCAGATACGAGGGGTGATCAAAAAGTTCACGAACTATCTCTATGTTTATGAAACCACAATTCAGATCAGAATGAAATTTGGCACACATATAGTCATACTAATATTCTATAAATAGCAAGTGTTATATAATGTTTTTCTCCGTGTTTGTGATGTCACAATGTGAAAATGACGCCAATATGTAGGTGACTTGTGAAAAAAAATGGTTGACTCAGTCGTACTCGAGTAATGAACGGCTGTAAAGTTTAAGGTATATCTTGGAAATTCCTTTGCAGTAGAATATGATAATTTGTACAAGGTTTATGAAGACAAAAGACTTACCGGAAGTTCATTCATTAATTGGATTGATTGTTTTAGTGAAGGCAGGGAGATGGTTAAAAATGATGTTTGTTCTGTTGCCCAGCGAAAGCGAGGCGGGGAAAAGATGTGTCCTTAGTTGAGCAATTTGTTATGAAAGATCACCAAGTTACAATTAGAAAAATAGTTGAATATCTTAACAATAATATAATTATCAAATCCCTAAAATTTTGTTTACTTTAGACTTTAAACATATGAGATATATATGCTGAAAAGAGGTCGCCCATACTTTATTCACATGAGATAAACGACGCTCCCGAGACTGAGGACTCGGGTTTTGATGATCAAAATGCTAATTCTGGAGAGGATGTCCTTATCCACCCATCCTATTGCTGAGATTTGGTCATTTCTGACAGATGGACTGTACTTGTTATAAAAAGTAACTTGCATGTTAGGAAATATAAGACTCAGAAAAATCTTTTAGATACTGTGAACAGACCGCTACAGAGCATGTCATGTGACCGCATGCTTCACGTGATTCGCGCATGGGCAGAACAATGGGAGATGTGCATTAAAATCCGAGATGACTACTTTAAAAAATAATGAGCACTGAAACCTCATTTTATTCCTTTTAAGGAAGTAATTCAATTAGTTTGCAAACTTTTTGATCAGCCCTCATATATCATTTCTGTTGATGTGCTTGTCAGATGTATTATTTCTGTTGACAGGTACCTGTGAAAGGTGTGGCTACATTTCCAGTAACCCCCTGTGTAAGGCCTGTATTCTACTGGAGGGACTCAATAGAGGACTGCCAAGGTATTCACTCAACAGAATCAATAGATGTGTCATTACATGTATTAAATTTAGTATAAATTGTTCAGATCTCTATAGAATTGTTTGTAGATTAACTCCTTATGTATTTGATTTTTTTTTCCTTTACAGACTTGGAATTGGCAAAAGTCACAAAGAGAGACGCAAGGTGAGTGCTTTTGACATAAACATAAAAATTTTGACATTAACATAAAAATAAGTTTTTCTTTTTTATCAGGGATGAATTATTTTTATTTAAGTGCATTTAAAAAAAAATATGTAAAAGATATTCATATTCCAAACATTTTTTTTTAATGATAATAAATTTTGAAGTTATTTTCATTTGTTATTTTTTTTTTTTTTACATATATGCATTAATATTCCTTTATGCATTTTTGGTGCATGGCTTAGGGCATGTTTATTTTCCAAAAAAAAGGGAAAAAGACTAATTAATAATTTTTCTGAGAGGTTTCTTCTTTTTAAGATGAATAAATTACTATGGTTATTTGATATTTAGCTGAATGAAATGTTGGCCCAGAAATCAGAAGCTACTGACGTTGGTACAAATATGGACACTTCAAAAGAGACAACTGATAATGCATCAACAACAGAAAGCTTGGGATCAACAAACACAAAACAAAAATGTGAAAACTGTTCATGTGGTAGTGGTTGTTTGTCTGAAAAAGTAGAGAAAGTACAGCTGGACAGAAGGAAAATTGACCCAGCAATGATAGATTTCTGATATATTGGTACTTAGATGGAATGAAATGCAATATACAATTTTTTTACCAAATGAAAAACTAAATGATTACAGGAAAACACACTTATAAGGAATTTTAATTCCCCGTGGCTTTAAAATATATTGTTAACTTGAGGGATACATTGAATTATGTTTATAAAGAAGCAAAATCATCCATCCCTGACACTTTTTTATAAGCGTGTTTTTCTGTATTTCTAATCATATATCTAGCCAATGATATTCAATAACACTGTGAATAAATGTTGGAAATTAAATTTATTAAACACTGCGTTTGGAAGTCTTTCACAGCCATTTTTTTAAAAATTTGATTTTGATAGAAAAGTATAATTAGAATACACTTATATTTTTAAACAAATTGTTCCCGAATTTATACCTTGTTTGTAAAATCCACTGCATTACAATGTATTTTGAGAGACATGTACATGCTAGTGTCATATTGCTCTGAATAATGATTATTTTGGATTTAATATCTGGATATTTTTAAAATATGAATATTTTGCAATCTTGCAATATTATCTTTTGAGATTTCTTAATGTAAATCATGACTGTATTTATTATTACCATATATAATAAAATTTGTTTTCCTTCTGAGATTGTTATCATTTTTCTTAATAAATGAGGTATCTTTAGAAATTTTATTTTAAATAAATGTTTATTTATGTAAATTATAAAGAGATTGGTGATAGAAGGTAAACAGAGAACAAACTGTAGATTTAAATTTTTGGGTTTATTTTATTGTGACAATAAAATTTATGATTTAATAATACTTTGTTGATTACAAATAAGTTAAGACAAATATATATATATATATATATATATATATATATATATATATATATATATATATATATATATATATATAGAGGATATTCAATGTTTTGTAGATGAATATGGAATTTATTTCACGAGTGGGACAGGATTTTTTTTTATATTTTCACGAGTGCGAAGCACGAGTGAAAATATATAAAAAATCCTGTCTCACGAGTGAAATAAATTCCATATTCATCTACAAAACATTGAATTTTCTGTTTATTACATTTTCTTTGATTTTCCCTTTGCCTCTGTCTTTTCTTAACACAGTGTCATATGCTTGACGTCATAGTTGAGCAGTTGAGACGTCATAGCTTAGCAGTTGTGTGATTGAAAACATTAAGCATGGATTTTAGCAATATATTTGGGAAGGAATTTGCAGTTTTAGCTCTATCAAGATGCTTAGTTACATGTACTATCTCTATCTTATGACAGGCCAGAAATTATTTTTACTTACTTTGATATCCTTTCACACTGTGAGAGAATATCATTTTGGTATCCTTTCACACTGTGAGAAAATATCACTTTTATTCAATAAATAAATCACAGTATTTCACTGTTGAAAATGTAATAAATATATATATATATAATTATCAAGATATGCTCCTTAAGCCTCAAGGACATTGACTTAACATGGATGAATGCATCATTATCATCTCAAGAATAGTTATTATACATGATCTTGAATTGGTCAAAGACTTCATACCGTGTGACATATGATATTTTGAAAGTATTTAAATTTTAACAGAATAAATAATGTATTTTCACAACTGCATGGTGTTGAAACCAAATAAATAAATACAGTCAAACCTCGTTATCTCAAACTTGATGGGACTGAGAAAAAACTTCGAGATATCCGAGGGTTCGAGATATCGAGGGTAAAATACTTAAGAAATTCGTGGTTTAGGACTTCCAAATCACTTTGACATATCCATTGTATTCGAGATATCCGTGTTCGAGATTCTGAAGTTCAACTGTATATTAATCATTTTATTCAATATATTTTACATAGTTTTGAAAAGTACACAGTTTTTAATTAAACAGAGCATCTTCCAGAAGCAAATTTTATTTCAAGCATAAAGCAACTCAAGATTACAGATTTATTTCATTTTTTTGTTGTAATTCTCACCCACTATTCTGGGTTTATTCCCATCAATTCATGTTTGTGTTTTTGACTCTTTGGGATAGAAAATTGTACATTTTCAGAATGATGAAAGATGTTTCCTTTTGTCAGAATTATTTGTTTATGATTGATTGACCTATAAAAATCAAATATAAGGAGTAAAGATCTACAGTTTTGAGTTGGCCTTTATTTTTGACATGCAAACATTATACATAATAATCACCAGTCAATAAATTCTAATGTAAGAGGTAAAAATAACAGTTTAAATATCTTGTATTAGCCTTAAATAATTGATCTGTAAATATATTAAGAGAACAATTCATAATATAACAAGTAAAAATCTACGGTTTTATAACCTTATATTAGTCTATTGACTTTATAAATGATTTAAAAATGATTTTTATTTTTTTGATATTAAATCTACAGTTTTTGTATTCTTGTAAATATATAAAGGGTAAAACGCTCCTAAATGAATACTAATCCTAGTAATCAAAATCTAAATTTTTCATACATTTCTGAGCAGTGAGAAATGAGAAATACCTGTATCAATGTCAGACTTCTAGATTACACTTTTCTACTTCACTGTCTATAAATTTTTATTACATTGCCGCTCCAATGAAATCATAATGTAACACCATAACAGTGGGTGTAAATTTGAAAAAAAAAAATTGACAACGGAATTACAAACCTTAATTTAAAAAAAAAAATACGGAAAGCTTGAGTATCATCATTACCTTGTTGCCGACCAGTTCTCCATATACAGTCATTTTTGGAAAAGAAATATAGTATACAATGATTGGTTTACAATATTTTCATGTATTTAATTTTCTTCACTTTACCACTTTTCAGCTCAGCCACAAAAAGATAATCTCTGGAGTCCACACATAAACCCCATGGGCTCTGAAGATTGCAGTTGTTTATGTAACGGAGGAACAGTCCATCTTTATCTAGGATGTGAATGTGACTTCTGTCGCAGTCTGATGTCAGGATTTGGCCCTGGCTGTCTGTCGTTATCCCATATGGTGTTAATGCTCCTGAAGCTATGGACGGGTGGCCAGTGTATCTAAATCGGAGCTTTCCAGCATGACTGACTACTACCAATGTACGAGCTAAATGATCGGCTACACAAATATCTAGGTTTCTGTTTTCACAGATGTGTTTTAGGTAGTAGGAAGAAAACAAAGATTTTCCCTTTTCATCATACTGAATCTTTTGAACCTCTACATAACCAGCTGCAGAGTATCGGACAATTTTGGATTGTTTCGTTTCAGCTTTGTCCATTGTAACCAGGATATCTCCCGAAGACGCACTGCAGACATTGTTAGGTTTCCATTCCTGCAGTGTGATCACTTCCTGTATCTCTTTATTCTTCACAACGTTGATAACAATCAACATTTTGCCTCTTACCAATAATTATATCGTTGTCTTATAATTTCATAAAGTATTATATGTTAATTGGATTTTAAAATACATTGCATCATGTCATGAAATTAACATCAGAAATCAGATGGAAATTTAAATTTCTGTTTCTAAATAGACATTTCATTTTTTCATCACTAAAGCAATACCCATTAGCTAAGCTTGGACTACCATCAACTCGTATCAGTCCTTTCAGTGCTTTGATTAAAAGGAACTTCTGATAGCATACAATGGTCACGTGACCGCGACTTTTGTTAAATCATTTTTTCCTTCCTGGCGTCAGCGACAAACTTTGAAAAAAAAAAAAATAGCCCATGCACAACTAGGGTTGGTGATTTTTATTTCTGTAAAGCTTCATGAAGATTTTGAAAGCCATCTACGAGAACGCTCGAGTACAAAACTAAGGTGAACCGAAATACGACTTCGTTCCGGTGGCTGAAGCGATGGGCCTGCTCCAATTTTTTTGCGGAAAACAACTTGATTCGGTAGAAGGAATAAACCTTTAAAGTTTCCAAAAGGATTGCTTGCGTATTTACTGAGAAAAATAGAAATTAAAGAATTTTCACTTTTCATCCGTTTCCATGGCAACGGTAGGAATTTAGAAAAAATTGAATGTTGATTGCACACCTAGAGTTTCTAATTATAATTTCTGTAAAGTTTCATCAAGATTGTCCAAGCTACCTCTGAGAACATATGTGACGTAATATCTTTTTTCTGTTTTGTTTCTTTGGTAACTGTGTGCGGCCAATTCCAGGTTTTTCTAAAAATAGAAATCACTTTGACACAATCAAGGAATCATCCATTAAAGTTTCAAAATGATTGCTTGAGCAGTTACTGAGAAAATCGAAGTTAAAGAATTTTCACTTTTCCTCTGTTTCCATGGCAACAATTGACAATTTGAAAATTTTAAATGCGAATCGCACAACTACAATTACTGATCATGACTTCTATAAAGTTTCATGATGAATGTTCAAGGGACCAGAGAGAACACTCCCGGACAAAATTCCTCACTTTTCGCATGTTTCCATGGCAACGGTAGCCATTTTGAAACTGAAAGTCTGCACTGCAGAAGTACAACTAGTGATCGTCTTTTGTGGAAAGTTTCAGGAAGATTGTCCTAGCAATCTTCGAGTGAATTCCCGGACAAGGTTTTTAGGCGTACAATAACAATATGTCCCCCGACTTCGTTCGGGGCGACATAATAATAAATGAAGGTTTATGTTGTTGTTAGTCAATTTAAGCATATTCTGTTGAAAGTTACTGCATATTTGTTTGGTGATCAAAAAATAAAAATTGTTAAAACTGACTCTACTCTTCTAGTTTGATTTGTAGTAAATGGATTGGGTTCTTTTTTTTCGTTCTCTCTTTCTTTCTTTTCTTTCTTTCTTTTTTTTTTCCTTTTTTCCCCGAGAAATTTAGGTTTTCTAACATTGCCCTAGTACTCTGTTGTTTTATCTTCTTTCTTTTCGTACTTCTTTTCTATATTTTTTTTACGACTTAAGTGTGTGATATTCATTGTAATTTCGTATACTAACATGTGTTACCTGTAGCAGTAGTTATTGATTTTTAGCTTTAAAATAAACATTTTCGGCGACCAGTATGAAATCTGCGATCTTGTCATGTGTTGATTACCTCGACTAAGGACGTACGAGAATCACGATTATTATTTCAGGCCAAAGATTCTACGAACTCCTTTTTGACCAAGGTACGACGTACAAAATTACATATAGTGATCAACCTGTCTGATAAGAATTTATATAGAAAGAATCTCTTCTACAGATCAGGCTGACTAAGTATTTTTCTTTCCTGTAGTTTCTGTTTATTGTGGGAAGATCGCCCCCCCCCCCTTTTTTTTAAATTATGTATCATGCAACATTTCTATTCTCAGCTGCTGACCCTTATCTTGAAAAAATGAAATTATATAAAAATTTGTAATTTTTGTTAAGATTTTCGATAAGATGAGGTAAGAATTTGACTGAGATTTTCGTTAAAAAATAGTTATATAAATAAATTGTTAAGACAAACAGTTTACCTTCAGTAATGTCTAACAAAATATTGATCAGTAAAAAGTTATAGATTAAAAACTTTCGGCCCGTCTTTGTCCCTTATGTGAGTGATCTGCCCTTTTTTCTTGATATCATCTTAAAGCTCTCATGATTTTGAACACTTTTTGTTCAATAACTATTCAGAAATTCTTTTTCGTTTCCGAGAAATATTAAGGGCCGGCCCTTTAAGTCTAGCAAAAATTGAATGATTGCATATCATTAAGAATATTATTTTGAACGTCTTTTGTTAAAATATTGGTTATCAAAATATTCTTCCTTTTCAAGATTTATTGCGCCAAAGATTATACAATCTGTCCCCTAATTACCCCTTATTGCATAACATATGATGTAAACACCATAAAGAGTGTGAAGATGAACTATTTCGCTTCAGTAATATTATTAAAAATATTTCTCAATGAATAGTTATTGATTAAAGACTTTTGGCCCCTCTCAGCCCCTATTTCGAGGGGCCAGCCCCTTTTTCTTCATACCACTTTAAAGCTCTTATGATTTTGAACACTTTTTATTCAACAACTATTCAGAAATTCTTTTTTCGTTTGCGAGATATCTGCAAAAGATATATTTAGGGGCTAGCCCTTCAACTCCTTGTTTAGCAAAAATCGAAAGGTTACATATTGAGCAGATAATTATTTTGAACATCTTTTTATTCAATATTGCTTATCAAAATATTCCCAACTTTTGAGATATAGAGTGACAAAGATTTGGCGTTCTAGTCCCTTATGGCCCCTAATTATGTATTATGTGATGTGAATATCATAATATATAGTTGGAAATTGCCGACATAAACATTTTTGCTTCAGTAATGAATCGCAAAATATTGATCGTTAAAGAATAATTGATTAAAGACTTTCGGCCCCTCTCGACCCCTATTTTGAGGGACCAGCCCCTTTTTCTTCATACCACTTTAAAGCTCTTATGATTTTGAACACTTTTTGTTCAACAACTATTCAGAAATTCTTTTTCGTTTCCGAGATATATGCAAAAGATATATTAAGGGGCCAGCCCTTCAACTCCTTAATGGGGACGTTAAGCAAAAATCGAAAGGCTACTTACTGTTTTAAACATTATTTTGAACATCTTTTATTCTATATTGCTTATCAAAACATTTCCCACTTTCGAGATATAAAGTGCCAAATATTTGACCTTCTGGCCCCTTATGGCCCCTAATTATGTAACATGTGATGTGAATATCATAATATATAGTTGGCAATTGATGAGATAAACATTTTTGCTTCAGTAATGAATTGCAAAATATTGATCGTTAAAAAGTTATTGATTAAAGACTTTTGGCCCCTCTCGACCCCTATTTTGAGGGGCCAGTCCCTTTTTCTTCATACCACTTTAAACCCCTATGATTTTGAACACTTTTTGTTCAACAACTATTCAGAAATTCTTTTTCGTTTCCGAGCTATATGCAAAAGATATATTTAGGGGCCAGCCCTTTAACTCCTTAATGGGGATGTTTAGCAAAAATCGGAAGGTTAAATATTGTTTAGAACATTATTTTGAACATCTTTTATTCAATATTGCTTATCAGAATATTTCCAACTTTCGAGATATAGAGTGCCAAAGATTTGGTATTCTGGCCCCTTATGGCCCCTAATTATGTAACATATGACATAAATTTTTATATATAGTTGTAAATTGTTAAGATAAACAATTTTGCTTCAGTGATGAATTGCAAAATATTGATCATTAAATAGTTATTGATTAAAGACGTTTGGCCTCTCTCGGCCCCTATTTTGAGGGGCCATCCCCTTTTTCTTCATACCACTTTAAAGCTCTTATGATTTTGAACACTTTTTGTTCAACAACTATTCAGAAATTCTTTTTCGTTTCCGAGATATATGCAAAAGATATATTTAGGGGCCAGCCCTTCAAATCCTTAATGGGGACCTTTAGCAAAAATCGAAAGGTTACTTACTGTTAAGAACATTATTTTGAACATCTTTTATTGTATATTGCTTATCAAAACATTTCCCACTTTCGAGATATAGAGTGCCAAAGATTTGGCATTCTGGCCCCTTATGGCCCCTAATTATGTAACATATGATGTGAATATCATAATATATAGTTGTAAATTGTTGAGATGAACATTTTTGCTTCAGTAATGCATTACAAAATATTGATCGTGAAAGAGTTATTTTTCAAAGACTTTCGGTCCCTCTCAGCCCCTATTTTGAGGGGCCAACCCCTTTTTTTCATATCACTTTAAAGCTCTCATGATTTTGAACACTTTTTGTTCAACAACTTTTCAGAAATTCTTTTTCGTTTCCGAGATATATCCAAAGGAAGTATTTAGGGGCCGGCCCTTCAACTTCTTAATGGGGACGTTTAGCAAAAAATAAAAGGTTGCATATTGTTTAGAACATTTTTTGGAACATCTTTTATTCAATATTGCTTATCAAAATATTTCCCACTTTTGAGATATAAAGCGTCAAAGATTTAGCATTCTGGCCCCTAATGGCCCCTAATTATGTAACATATGATGTGAATATCATAATATATAGTTGTAAATTGTTGAGATGAACATTTTTGCTTCAGTAATGCATTACAAAATATTGATCGTGAAAGAGTTATTGTTCAAAGACTTTCGGCCCCTCTCAGCCCCTATTTTGAGGGGCCAGCCCCTTTTTCTTCATATCACTTTAAAGCTCTCATGATTTTGAACACTTTTTGTTCAACAACTACTCAGAAATTCTTTTTCGTTTCTGAGATATTTGCAAAGGAAGTATTTAGGGGCCGGCCCTTCAATTCCTTAATGGGGACGTTTAGCAAAAAATAAAAGGTTGCATATTGTTTAGAACATTATTTTGAACATCTTTTGTTCAATATCGCTTATCAAAATATTTCTCACTTTTGAGATATAAATCGTCAAAGATTTAGCATTCTGGCCCCTAATGGCCCCTAATTATGTAACATATGATGTGAATATTACAATATATAGTTGTAAATTATTGAGATAAACATTTTTGCTTCAGTAATGCATTACAAAATTTTGATCGTTAAAGAGCTATTGACTAAAGACTTTCGGCCCCTCTCGGCCCCTAATGTGATGAGTCAGCCCTTTTTCTTTGATATCATATAAAAGATCTTGTAATTCTACACAATTTCTATTCAATATGTTTTTAGAAAATCTCCATAGTTTTAGAGATATGATAAAAAATGTCTTGAAAATTCACTCCCGATTCATGTCCTAGATTTCAACCCCTACCGAGCTTCCATACTAGGTACTTCCGGAAAATTTGAAAACCCAGGTGGAAAACTTCAACATGTCGTCTATAATCGCTGAAAATTTCAGCGCTCTAGCTTTTGCCGTTTCTTAGTTTTTGTGTCGACAAAATGGTTATCTGAAAATCGATTAAAGGGCGATAACTTCCGACCGGAAGTGAATTTTAAGGATTTGAACAAAAAAGGATCATCTTCAGATCAAAAGGCATTACCCCTGAAAATTTCATGAAAATCGATCGAACCGTTTGCGAGATATCTTCTGCACAAAAATTGTAAAGAAAAAGTGGAATAATAATAATAAAAGTGAAAAAGAAACAATACAATAATAGAAGGGTCTTCCGTTGGAGACGGAAGACCCTAATAAGAAGCTTGAAAAAGAAACATAAGAATAATAGAAGGGTCTTCCGCTGAAGACGGAAGACCCTAATAATAAAGGTAAAAAAGAAACCTAAGAATAATAGAAGGGTCTTATGCTGAAGACGGAAGACCCTAATTAGCCAAAATGCGACCCATCAATAGGTATACATGTATTTACTAATAGGTCATTATGTCGACCATAGCATTTACGAAATGCCGACTTTAAAGGAGGTTTTTTAAATCAGTGACTGGTATGCCTTGCTTTAAAAATTGATCGTACTCAGATCAAGCTCTTGAGTAGCGAATAAACACTATATGCATGTGATAGCGGAATATTACTACATGAATATTTTAAGGAAAGTTGACGATGAAAAATGCTGAAGTTACCTAGTGTGTCATATAATTTAGTTGTTAATTTCCCTTTATCGTCTATAATCAGTCAGATATCTTTATTATAACCCGATGTGGCGGTCTCTGCGGTGTCTATTATTTTAACTTAAATTATACTTAATGTAGAGTGACTGTCATGTTAAGAAGCACAGATTCTATAGACTGGATTATAGACAACAAGTATAGTTCAAATGAAATAAATGCATAATACAAGCATTTTTAACAGTGGTTGCTTTAGCGCTAACATCAATATACTAGAAGTATTATTTTAGTAATCCATAAGGACTAATAATAAAACATCAACATCATATAACTCATTTATGCATCATATTGTACGTTTGCCATGATAAGGGGAAAAAAAGAAATTGGACTTTGTACTTTTGTCTTTCTATTGACTGTTCGTCGGTAGAGAGCTCACTCCGTAGTAGAAATGTCGTGGGCTTGTGCCCAACCAGGGCAATTCTAACGCGGTTAAAATAGTTTGCAACTGCTCAGTCGGTTAGCACTAGGCTCTTTTGAAATGACAATTGCTTTATTTCAAAAGAGACCTTAAAACCGTTGAAGGTGTTGGCACGCTTAAGAACCTTCACTGCTCAATGACCCTGGATGCCGATTTATAGCCTAATTTGAAGCTAGTCTTCTGAAGACATCCTGCATGAAGTACGCAGTAATAACAATGAAATATGGAAATAACGAACACTAATAAAGCTCAAATTCCCTTGAAAAAAAAACATTGGGAGCAGAAGGAACACAAACCTCTTAAATGTAAGAGATGGGATCAGTTGTCATGCACCCCTTTCTACCGGACACTCTCGACGTGTGATCAATCATGTACTCAGCAATACAACTTATTATGATGGACTGGGAAAAACTTAATATCAAATGTCCAAGCACTGTTTCTGCTAGTATATAAAAAAATATTCTTTAGCATGAATGCCTTTAAAAATTGGAGATTATTCAATACAAGTATTCGCAAGTTCACTAGAGCTTATTTTTGTCACCATTGAAAAAAAATTAATCTATAGTTTTAGACAGAATAAATATTAAACTATGAGAAGAATTTTTTATCATTTTTATTTTCAGTGAGTGGAAAAACCTTTACAAAGTGTGAACTGGCAAAAGAGTTAGCAGAATCAAACCACGATATACCACGTAGTGATATTGACGACTGTAAGTGAATTTATTCAAACATAACAAGACTTTTCTTAAAAGAGAGCAATATCGGGTCAAACACGGATATTGCATCAACTGAATATCCATCGAACTGCCACTGTGTCAATTTCTTTTTTAATCCAAGGGATGCTTGTCTGGTTTCTGACTAGATGGATGAAATATTCAAAGTATATTTGCTTATATGTCTTTTATATTTACATGGAAGTTATTTAAAAAATCATATTTTTCTTTCTTCATCATAGTTGTAAAACTTTACATAGAAATGGTAAACTGAGTTTGAAATCTAGCAGGGACTATATTTTTGGCGGAACAACAGCCTATGAAAAAAATCTCGATCTTTTCTGCTTCTCAAAATTACCATAGAACAATGAATTTAATTATAGAATTTTTAACAGTCAAAGACTTTAAAAAATTCAAATGTAAGTAAAATAAATAATAATGGCCTGAAGTTATAAAATATATCAAATAAATATGATGTTCAAAACAAACTACAATTTTATTAGCATTTAAAAGATTCCAATTTAAGTACAGATTTGAACAAAAAATCTGTAAAAAATGGGGTTTTTTTCTCCCTTAGTAAACTGTCAAACCTTTTTGTTTTAGTATCAATTTTTATCTTTGTGTGACTCCTTTACCATATATAAAAATAAGAAAAATTTAAATATAGGAAGCATATAAAAATAACTAAAAATAGAGGAAATTCGGATTAGCCAAAATCAATTTTAGTTGAATTATTCATGTCGATTTGGTAGTATCATCTGAAAAACCCTAAATGGTAATATCTTTTTACGCCAAAAAAAAAAAAAATCAACTTTTGAAATTGAAGTAGACATTGCATGATTGGCAATAGTATTTTTTTTTAATTTGTAATGTGAAGGAAAAAGATATGACCTTGACCTGACCTTGGTTTTAAGATAAAACGGTCAAATTTAATCTAACTGCTACCATCACTTACTGATTATGTCCTCTTGAATCTATGGAAATTTCATCAATGTTTAAATACAAGAAATATGAGAAGAATCCCTCATTAAGCTAATAGAAAAACGGACGAAACTAGCAAACAAAGGTGGTTTAGAATTCTAATATTGATTGTATGTTGTGTAACGTTCTATTTGAGAATTTTTCACTCATATAGAGACGTCACCGTATGCCGGTGAAGGGCTTCAAATTTAGACCTATACCCGGCACTCAGGACTATTGAGCAGTGAGGGTTTTTTATCTTGTCAACGCCTACCGTGAAACGGGATCTCAGTTTTTTAAGGTCACATCCGAACGACCCGTGCCTTTCACTAGCTTCTAGAGCCGGGCACTTGGCGAAGGGACAGTCTCTATCCTTGTATACGTCTTAGGTCGATATATCTGAATGTCGCGAATTGAAGACCACAGCAAGTGCTTTCTTCTTCACGTGTAGACTTTTTTTTAAATAAATTCTGCTTAATAGGAATATAAAACAGGTCAGCTAATAAAGGGGCACAACTATGATAAATTAATTACTTTAAAGGATCGAGTTAATACAAGTTATAAGGTCACCTGAGTAAACTCAGGTGACCTATTGCTATCTGTTTTCGTCCGTCGATGTGCGTAGTGCGATGTTCGTTAACATTTGAACATTTTTAACTTCTTCTTTAAAATCGCTCAACCAATATCAACCAACTTTTGCATATAGCATCTATGGGTAGAGGGGAACAAACATTGTGAATTGCATGCTCCCTGTCCCCCTGGGGCCTGAGGGGTTGGGCCAAAACCACTAAAATTATTGCAATCTTTAAAAATCTTCTTCTTTACTCCTGGACATTAAGCAGTCAAACTGTTGGCATGATTGTGATAAGGATTGAGCCTTCTACCAAAATTGTGAAATTCATGGCCCCAGGGTCAGGGGTTTTGGTGCTAGGGTGGGGCTCTGTTGAAAATGCATTATTTCTGAAAAAAAAAATTCTCTTTTGCTCCTGGGTACAATGAAAACAAACTAAATGCATACTTATGATGAGGAAGGTTACCTCTACCAAAATTGTGAATTTCACAATTTTGGCCCCTGGGTCAGTGGCTCTGGTGTTAGGGCGGGGCTTTAATGATAATAGTGAAAATGCATTAATTCTTTGACAATCTTCTCCTCTGCACCTGGGTATTAAACCCATCAACTAAGTACAAAGTTATGGTGTGGAGGAGGCTTCTAAAATTGTGAATTTCATGGCCCCTGGGTCAGGGGTTCTAGTGTTAGGGAGGGGCTCTAATGATTATATAGAGAAAATGCATTCATTCTTTGAACATCTTTCTCTCTCCTCCTGTGTATAAAGAAAATAAATTAGGTGCATCGTTATAATGATCAAGGGGGCCTCTTCCAAAATTGTTAATTTCATGGCCCCTGGTTCAGGGGTTCTTGTGTTAGGGCGGGGCTCTATTGACCATATAGTGAAAATGCATAAATTCGTTAAAAATCTTCTCCCCTCCCACTGTACATAAAGAAGATAAACTCGTTGCATGGTTTTGATGTTCAAGTGTTCCTGTTCCAAAATTGTGACATTTCTGACCCTAGGGTGAGGGGTTCTGTAGGAGGGGTGTCTATATTGATTATATAGTGTTTTGTTTGTTTGTTTATTGTTTAACGTCCCTCTCGAGAATGTTTCACTCATGCGGAGACGCCACCACTTGCCGGTGGAATGCTGCAAATTTTGACCGGCACTCAGGGTCATTGAACAGTGAGGGATATTTTTCTTGCCAGCACCTACTGCGACACGGGACCTCGGTTTATAAGGTCTCATCCAAAGGACCGGTCTCCACGTCTCACAGAGGGATTCGAACCCGCGACGTAAGGCTCAACTCCTTACTCTGCGACTCTAGAGCAGACGCTCTAACCCCTGCGCCACGCGGGTGACGATTATATAGTGAAAGTGCATTATTTCTTTGAAAATCTTCTCTGCTCCTGGGCATTTAGCCGATGTACTGTACTTAGTACATAGTTATGCTAAAGAAAGATCTCTTCCGAATTGTGAAATTCATGGCCCCTGGGTCAACGGTTCTGGTGTTATGGCGGGACTCTATTGATTATATAGTGAAAATGCATTAATTGTTTAAAAATCTTCTCCTCTCCCCTTGTATACAAAGAAGATAAATTAGGTGCAAGGTTATGATGATCAAGGGTGCCTCTTTCAAAATATCGAATTTCTGACTCAAGGTTGAGGGGTTCTCTGGGAGAGGGGGGGGGGGGCTCTATTGATTATATAGTGACAGTGCATTATTTCTTTGAAGTTTTTTTTCTCTGCTCCTAGGTATTTAGCAGATAAATCAAGTATATAGTTATAATGATCAAGGGCGCCTTTTCCAAAATTGACCCATGGGTCAAGGGTTCTGATGTTAGGGTGAGGCTCTATAGATTATATAGTAAAATGCACAAATTCTTTAAAACTTCTTCTTTCCCCCTGTATATAAAGCAGATAGTACAAATATCATTTCTGCTTGAACTTTCAGTAAGGCATGACAATCTCGGCGATACATGATTAGCGTCTCTCAAATGGTGACCTAGATTCTCATATGTTAAGAAATTAATAACATTAGCAACTTTAGATCGTTGTTAACAAACAATGAGATGACATAAGCCACACCTCTTTACTGTAAGAAACGATGTAATTGGTTCCTTGCGTCACTTGTTGATGTCTGAACCATTTTTATTTCATGTGTATTTCACCCGTGAATGAAAAGCTGTGTAAATTTCAGTATTGATGAGCTTATCTGGCAACCAATGAGAATCTAGGTCACTATCTGAGAGACGCTAATTATGTATAGCCGAGAATATCACGCCTTACTGAAAGTTCAAGCAGAAATGATATTTGTACTAAACTAGGTGCATGGTTATGATGATATAGGGTGCCTCTACCAAAATTGTGAAATTTATGGTCCCAGGGTGAGGTGCTTTGTGGGAAGAGGGTGGGCTTTATGGATTATATAGTGAAATTGCATTATTTCTTTAAAAATCTTCTCTCCTCCTAGTTATGATGAGCAAGGGCTCCTCTTCCAAAATTATGAATATCTTGGACCCTGGGTCAAGGGTTCTGGTGTTAGGGTGGGGCTCTATTTATGATATAATGAAAATACAATTTTCTTCTCTCCACCAATATATAAAGCAGATAAACTAATTGCATAGCTATGATGATCAATGGTGCCTCTTTCAAAATTGTGAATTTGTGACCCCAGGGTGAGGGGTTCTCCTTGAAAGGGGGGAGAACTCTATTGATTATATAATGAAAGTGCATTATTTCTGTGAAAGTCTTCATCTGTGCTCCTGGGTATTAAGCAGATAAAACTAATATATATTTATGAACAAGGGCGCCTCTTCCAAAATTGTGAAATTTGTGGTACAGGGAGTTTTGGTGTTACATTGTAGGGCGGGGCTCTATTGATTATAACATGAAAGTGCATTATTTCTTTGAAATTTACTTCTCTGTCCCTGGGTATTTAGCAGATAAACTAAGTCTATAATTATGATGAGCAAGGGCAACTCTTTCAAAAGTATGATTATCTTGGCCCCTGGTTTAGAGGCTTTGGTATTAGGGTGGGTCTATATTGAATCTATAGTAAAATGGATTATTTCCTTGAAATCCTCGTCTCTGCTCCTGGGCATCTACGAGGTAAATAGAGTATGGAAAAAGTTATAATAAGCAGGGATCATTTTACCAGATTTTGAAATGCTGTACCCTTTGGTCAATTTATTAATTTCTACTGAAAGGAGTTATTCCCCTTTGCTATTCACCTATAATAGTTAAACACTGTATATAATATAACTTAAAAGGTCAAATGAATAACAGAATTATACAAGAAATTTTTATAATATTTATTACAAAAGTACTTTTATAGTTTTAATGGTCAGGAAAAGTTTTAAATGATAGATAAATGAAAATGGTACAAAAAATACCATATCTTTGTACAATAAATAACCTTAAAATAGCAAGAGAGGCCAATGTGAAGAGGGGGGATGAAATGTGTGTAACTGATAGTGTTTTGTCTAGTCCGCATGAGGATAGTGACATATGGGGAAAGTACAGGCAAATAAATAGATCAACTTTTAAGATTTGTTATTGAGTACTAATTAATAATACTAATATTTTGCTGATCCCTTATTATCCTATTTCTCTTGCTTTTGGGCAACATAGCTTTATTTATCAGTTCATTCTGTTTTAATCTATGGATTGTTGCATTATACTCAGGTGACCGTTAAGGCCCCTGGACCTCTTGTTTCAATATACTTTCCTCAATATGTCCCCTTTTGCTTGAAATTGTGGCAGTCGTACTGAACGGTATATTTTGTCGTATTTAGATGTTTGTATGGCAGAATTTGAATCGAGCTATAGAACTAACGTAATAAGTCCTCCAAACATTGATGGATCTCGCGACCATGGACTTTTCCAGATTAATGATTATTGGAACTGTGATCCTCAGAATGGACAAACCACCAAGAATGGCTGCAATGCAAATTGTTCAGGTAATGTTTACATGCAGGCGCCACTATTGAACAACAAAAAATGCATACGCAAGTAGTGGCAAACATCATCTCTCTATTTGAGGTCTTATTTTCAAAGCTAGAAAAAATACATTTCTGTTAACAAACCTTTGTTAATACTGGAATAATGGATACTTAAAGGGACCTGGACACAGTTGCTTTGTTTACATTTTAGATTTCTATTTTTTTTTTTCAAAAAAGTTAACTGTATTGAACTAATATGAATATTTTTAGAATTCTAGGACAACGACCTTTTTCTTTACATTATGTCAAAGATCTGCCTTTGTAAAAATGGGCACGAGCTCTGTTATTGTTAATATTTACGTTTTACGGGGTATGTTCATTATGTTTACTCTGCACACACCACTGGGTGGGGACTGAAAATACTTGTGAGTTGGTTTGCTTTCTCACAATTTTACACTGAATTTTCTGAATTATAGGTTTGTATTTTTTTTTCATTGATACTCAACAAAATTTCAACCTTAGTATTAAGGATAATGTTTACTCTTTGAAAGTGGCAGGATATGTGTCAATCATACGCGTCCCGAAATTAGTAGTATTAATAATCTCTAGATAAAAGAAGTTTCTTTACACGCTTTTATAATATTTCGGCGTGCATATACACTGTAACTCATGACATTTACTGTAAATCACTATTAATTTTATTCGCGAGAACATTATTTTCACGTTATTACGCGAGACAGTGTGCTCGCGAAAATTTAATTCTCGCGTGAATTTCTGTTAGTGTAGGTTATATACAACAATACCCAGCATTCGTGAAAATCTTGTCTCACTTATAAATAACAAGTACATATCTCGCGAAAATAAGATGTCATGAAAATTTGGTGATCTACAGTACCTGAAAATTTTAGAAAATATTAACTCCAAATCTGTGTGCAAGCCCCTTTAAAACATACTGCATATGTTTTAAAATCAAATATTTCTTGTTAAAGTCATCGGCAAAATAGGGGGAAGAGTAAGAAGTAAAATTATTTTGATGGTTATTACATTTTTGCATAGTTCTAACTTAAAAACAAGAACTAGGTTAATGTATTTACCATGGCCACAATTGCAAACAACGCAACTTAAATGCATGGAGACGGATTATTAAATCAAAGATTTCTTTCTTCAATTTTAAAATGTATATCAGTTCAATTTAATCAGTTTTTTATCGAAATTATGAGGGAAAATTAATTCGAACAATTCCAAAATGAATAAGTATTTATAAGTTACAGTGTCCATCCAACATTCTAAATGCAGAAATAGTCATCCAGTATATATGGTTCTATCCCTGGATAAATCTTTCTTTATTAATAACTCAGCTCAGAGGTCTTTTAATTCTATAAACAGTTCAGATATTTTTCCAGAATCAAAATTGATTGTAAGGTTATAATAACATGTTTATGTGTAATTAGTTTTCAGATTTACGTATTTTTTAATTCATTAAAGAATCGTTTGTATTTGTAATGTCAATTATAGCTTCAAAATTTATTAACTGCAGGTCTGTTACAGTTTTCTTCTAATAGATTTCAGAAATGACGATATATCTGATGACATCGTGTGTGTAAAACAGCTGAAGAGAGAACATCATGGATTTGGATTTTCGTAAGTTTCAATTGAATAGTTTTTTTTTCCGGAAACATCAAAACCTCTTAAGTAGCAAAGTATATGTGAGACATACCTAGTTAAATTAACTTATTTTATTTAGATCTTAATGGATTTTTCCAATATTTATAAATAAGCTAACTTAAATTAGATTTTTTTTTCTAAACTTCTAAACCCAAATCAGCTACTTGCTTTATATTATATTTGTTAAGAACCAATCGACATAAATTTTAATTACTCTTCAAGTATATATATATATATATATATATATATATATATATATATATATATATATATATATATATATATATATATATATATATATATATATATATATATATATATATATATATATATATATATATATATATATATATTGAATACATACGCATAATACATTAAGGACTTATGTTTCTTTTTTTAGTTTATACAGAACTTAATTTTCTCTATCAGCCATAAATAGTGTTCTTCTTTACACTGGCCATATTGATATAATGGGCCAGATATTCACAGATTTAAGCTCAGCAAAATTTGTGGATCTGAATGAAAAGAATCTAATAAAATGTAGTGAACTCCTTTGATTTACCAGGTAACCAGTAGTCGTTCATGTTTATGAACTTCATTCTTTTTATATAATTATACAATTAGTTCGTTCTCCTTCTTCTTCAGGTATGCATGGGAATCCCACTGCCAGCACATATCTCCTGACTATCTCATAGGATGCTCTTATTAGAATGAATTTATCTGTCACAGAATGATTATATAAGCATGAAAAGAACGGTTGATTAAATCTTTTACAAACAAACAAACAAACAAAAAACTAAAAAAAACTTTTAAAATATATTATTATCGAGCATTTACATTAATACTTGTTATGTTCACAAATTTTAGGTGTAAATGCAGATATTCCTGCTTACTAATGTGTATGTCATTTACTGCCTGAAATAATTTTTTTAAAGGAAAATCGATAGGCATATTTTTATTCAATATCTTGGAGAAAAAATATGCTAGAAGAAGATATATTAACCAAGACGTTGATTTTTTTCTTTCTTTTTTTTTTTGTATAAAATATGGAGATAACAAACAGTATCCAAGCTCATTCAGAAAATTCAAACCAGGAGCAGGACAATTACGGACTTCTAAGATATCAGAGGTTGGATCAGGTGCCATGGAGGAATGAACGGGGATACCTCTGTCATTAAAATTTTAAAGAATTTCGTAGATTACGATGGGTGATCAAAAAGTTCGCGAACTATCTCTATATTTACAAAACCACAATTCAGATCGAAATGAGATTTGGCACACATATAGTCATACACATGTTCTATAAATAGCAGCTATTATGTAATGTTTTGCTCCATGTTTGTGACGTCATAATGTGAAAATGATGTCAATATGTAGGTGACCTGTGACAAAAAATGATGGACTCAGTCGTACTCGAGCGACAAACGGCTGTAAAGTTTAACGTGTATCTTGGAAATTCCTTTTCAGTAGCATCTAATAATTTGTACAAGGTTTTTGAAGACAAAAGACTTCCCAGAAGTTTAATCATTAAATTGATTGATTGTTTTAGTGAAGAAAGGGAGATGGTTAAAAATGATGTTTGTTCTGTTGCCCTGTGAAAGTAAGCTGGGGAAGAGATGTGTCCTTAGTTGAGCAAATTGTTATGAAAGCTCGCCAAGTTACAGTTAGAAAAATAGTTGAATATTTTAACAATAATATAATTATTAAATCCCTAAAATATTGTTTACTTTAGACTTAATACATATCAGATATAATACAAAGAAGGCGCCCGTACTTTATCCGCATTGGATAAACGACGCTCCCAAGACATAGGACTCGGATTGTGATAGTCACCATGCTCATTCTAGGAAAGGATTTCCTTATCCACCCATTCTATTGCCGAGATTTGGCCATTTCTCGGAAAAATCTTTGAGCTTCGTTGAACAGAACGCTGCGGAGCATGTCACGTGAGCGTCTATATCAAGTGATTCGCTTATGGGCAAAACGGTGGCAGATGTACATTTAAATTGAAGATGCCTTTTTAAAAAAAATAATGAACACTGAAACCTAATTTCATTTTTTTATGGAAGTTATTCAATAAGTTCGCGAACCTTTTGATCACCCCTCGTATGATGCAGATACTAACTCTACTATTAAAACAATATTGATAATGTTGTTAACAATTTAAGTAGAGAAATTGTTGATTTAGGTTTGCGCAATATTATTAGTAGACATCTGCATAATCAAACTGAAAAGTCGTTTTTGATATTAAAAAAAATTAACTTTGTTAATATTTAAACATATTGCTATGTTTATTTAGGTTTTTACCACTCATGTTTTTTTTACAGTTGTTACAATTGTTATATTATAAATTGAAATAATATGCAACTTATCACACTCGTTCTCCAAGGTGGCTTTGAAAATTGTGAGGAAAATTTACAGAAAATATTACTCTCTAGACACTCTTGTTGTGCAGTCAATATTCATTTTTTTCTAAATACCTATCGTTGCAATGGAAACAGGAGAAAAAATATCTTTTTTATTTCAATTTTCTCAGTAACTACCCAAACAATCTTTTCAATACTTTATTGGTTTAATTCTTTCACTGTATTAAAATGATTTCTGCAAAAAATGAAATCGTATGTCATCGGAAGGACATCTGGATGACTTATTGTTTTTAGCTTATCTTAGTTTTGCCCGGGGTTGTTCTCGTAGATGGATTAGAAATTCTTTATGAAACTTTGCATGAATAAAAGCCAACACATATACCTGTGCGGATATACTTTAAATTTTCAAAGTATTTCGATTAAATCAAATTTTTAAGAAGTCTTACTGTCAGGTTACCGCTATATACTATCAGAAATTTCATTTTAAAAATCACGTTTCCAATCCTATATCATCAAATTTTTTGTAATTTAATATTTTATGAGATTTATTATGTTGCAATTTCTATTTACAAACTAAAAGTATATATTTGCAGTTTCTTGATTCGGGTGGCTGCTGAGAACTAATCTGAAAATTTAAACTCCGTCAATTTTTATCATCGATTAGTTTATGTTAACTCAGCTCCCTTAGCAGAAAATCGTGCATCATGAACACTGACTATGTTGAATGAAAGTATTATGTTAGAATTAAACCTGTCATTTAAGTTCAAGTTGTAAATATAAATTTATTTTAATGTTATAAATATGTTTGTCTAGTGTTTCTTATCAGTAGATGTACATTTTTAACAGGTTGAACTCATAAAAATAAGTACTATTTGACGCCTTTTTTCGTATAAATATCCACGGTTGTAAAAAAAAATTGTCATGTTTATTGAATTTTGATTTCCTAAAATTAGTTTAGCTTATGACTTATACATGTACATGTACCTCACACGCCTTTCAGAGCATTTAATTACAACTTTTTTGTTCCAATGTCAAAACCTGCGTTGATGACAATGAAAGTAAATCTATTACACGATCTAATATTCGGGGGATCTAAAATGTACATTATTGCCATGTTCTCAATTTCGAGTTTACTTGATGGGAGTAAATTTGAAACATTTAGAACAACTTTAAAAAAAAAAAAAAAAAAAAAAAAAAAAAAAAAAAAAAAGATCAGCGATCAGGGTCCAGGATTATAAACGGAGAACAGACTTAGTCAAAATTTCTAATTAGTATTATAATAACTTTTGCAATTATTTTGAAAATAAAACAAATTTTTCTTCGCTTGTTTTAATTTGAATATTCTATACAAACTTGAACCTTTTTTTTTTTAATTTCTTAAACAAAATTGAAGATATTTAAAATTAAATCAGCTTCATTATATTCTCAGGTTCTGATCTTGGAGCCTTAAACTCAAACACATTAGAGACTGAATATAAAACCATATTCCAACATGACCAACATGACACAACTAAATGTTCAAATCACAAGAGGAGGAGGAAAAAAAATGATTTTTTACTGAAATTTTAAATTGTGTATAATTGCACTATTCCATGTCTTTTTGAAGAACATGTATGTGTCTTATTGGTAGCCATAGAAATGTAAATTTTCTACAAATGTAAAAAATTTAAAGAAATAAATTAATTCTTATAGCAAGGTATAAAATAAAATAATTTTTTATAGCAAAGTATAAAATAGATTAATTCTCATAACATGGTAAATCTTACATAACATTTAAAAAATGATTCTAATGAAAACTAAAAACGCTTGTCAAAAGTAAAAAATAAATAAATAAATAAATAAATAAAAACAAACAAACAAAACAAAACAAAACAATTGCTTTATATATAAAATAGTGAAAGTGAATTCGATCAATGGCTTTATTCATAATCAAAACGCCATGCTACAAATATTGTTCGAAAAATAATCTGGGATACCAAAATAAAAGTTAATCAGATCTTTAGCATTATTCATCCGTCTTATTTCAAGAGTATTCTTCTAAAGCGGTTTAGTATGAATTCACACACAAGACGTAGCCCCTAGGAAGGAATGTGATTCTTGTATGCTGCTTCAAACGCTAGCCCCGCCCTCCGTTTTCTTTGGAAGTGAAGGGTCTGCCAATCTCACCGACGGCTGATTTCACTATCTGAATACGAAACAAATTCAAGACATTGTCACTGAAGTGGGGACAAATTGATTCGGGAGGAATCGTTCATTTTTCAGTACCTTGTAAACGTGTTGAGAGTGCTTGTCGACGTAAGGTTTGATGAGGATATGAGCGACCCCGCGCAGCAGACGACAGAGAGAAATATGTCATCGACGTCATCGTTTGAGTTGGACTCGGACGACGTGACCATTGATGACGGCGACGATTCTCAGAATTCCACTTCTATGTCTTCCGTATTTACATATCCCGAAAACCGTCATCAAAGTAATGATAAGACACAGTACAAAAGTGAAAAGAAGAAAACTATTGCCAGCAAGTGTATAGACGAAAAAGAGGTACAAGATCTAAGACTTAAGATCAATTCTAGAGAGAGAAGGAGAATGCACGATTTAAATTCAGCTTTGGATGGATTACGAGAAGTGATGCCCTATGCTCATGGACCATCAGTTCGAAAACTTTCAAAAATTGCTACACTATTATTAGCCAAGAACTACATACTTATGTTAAACAATTCTTTGGAAGAGATGAAGAAACTAGTGAGTGACATTTATCCATTTCCTTTACTCTGTAATTTCAAGACTTGTTCTATTTGTCATTTTCCTCTTTTGAACAAATAGTTTTGATAGAGTTTGTCTTTCATTATTCTGTTTTTTAATTTTCAGGACACAATGCGGATGAAATTGCTAAGACTGTGATAATGAATGGTAAGTTAATCATACTGAAAATGAACAACTACTGTAAAATCATTTATTTTTCAAGATTTGATGGAAAAATTACTGGTGAGAGGGGATATGATTACATATGGTTAAAGGAGAAAAGTTATACTGCACTGTGCAGTTTTCACATTTCGTACACGAATTCATGGGTCTTTTCCTACCACGAAAAACAACAAAAATTAAAATCTCTCCAAAATGAGTGATTTCACAGTAAGTTGATTGGAAATTCGTCTCTAACTTTTTATGCCCCCGGATCGAAAGATCCCGGGCGTATATTGTTTTTGTCCTGTCTGTCTGTTTGTCTGTTTATCTGTTTGTCTGTTTGTCTGTTTGTCCGTTTGTCCGTTTGTCTGTTTGTCCGTTTGTCTGTTTGTCTGTCTGTCTGTTGTCAACTTTAACCTTGCCCATAACTTTTGATTGGTTGGAGCTATGACTTTCATATTTCACATGTGTATTCCTTGTGACAAGACCTTTCTTTGGGTACCATCATATTTGACCTTTTGACCTTGACCTTGGAGTTTGACCCACTTTTACAAAATTTTATGAGACTTTAACCTTGGCCATAACTTCTGAACAATTGATGCTTGGGGTTTCAAACTTCACATGTGTATTCTTTGTGACAAGGCCTTCCTTTGGATACCAACAACTTTGACCTTTTGACCTTGACCTTGGAGTTTGACCTACTTTTGAAAAACTTTAACCTTGGCCATAAATTTTGAACAGTTGGTGCTTAGGGTTTCAAATTCACATGTGTATTCCTTATGACAAGACCTTCCTCTGGATATCAACCACTTTGACCCTTTGACCTTGACCTAGGAGTTTGACCTACTTTTGAAAAACTTTAACCTTGGCCATAACTTTCGAATGGTTGAAGCTAGGGCTTTCATTCTTCACATATGTAATCCTTGCGACAAGACCTTCATTTGGATACCAACCACCACTTTGACATTTTGACCTTGACCTAGGAGTTTGATCTACTTTTGAAAAACTTTAACCTTGGCCATAACTTTTGAATGGTTGGTGCTAGGGCTTTTCATACTTCACATATGTAATCCTTGTGACAAGATCTTCCTTTGGATACCAACCACTTTGAACTTGACCTTGACGTTTGACTTTTATTTAAAAAACTTTAACCTTCGCCATAACTTTTGAACAGTTGTATTGAGGTCTTTCAAATTTCACAGGTGTATTCCTCGAGACAAGACCTTTCTTTGGGTATCAACATTTTTTATCTTTTGGCCTGGATTTTGACTTGCATTTGAAGAAACTTTAACCTTCGCCATAAGCTGCGATACGGTGGCATCAGTGGTTCACAAACACATCTTGTTGATTGAAATGTTTCAGATTGTCTTATAATGTAGTACACTGGTTTGTCATTTATATGTATGTTTGAAAAGTAGACTGTATATTTTTGTTTACATGATTGTACAGTTGATGTTGTTTTTGTACAGGTAAGAAGAAAGATGATTTCATAATGACATAAAGTTTTAAATTTGTGCGATAAATTTTGACTTTGTATATAATTACAGTACTGAGAGGTGACATTGGAAGATTACAGAGGTGTACAGCCATCACCACGGTAACAAAATAAACATCAGTGTCAGATGTAAATTACAGATAAGTAGCAAAACAGAGAATAATCTGTTATAAATCTGGGCTGTATTAAAGATCATAGTGGCTACTTAGCTTTACATAGCTGTTACGATCTTGAATGATATACTAGCCTAGCTATGATAAGCATTATTTATACAGTGTGTTCAATATGACCTATATGTAGATATCTAACCTAGCAGTTAGGCTAGCTGCTACATGTACTAAGAGTGCAACGATAAACCGCTTGACAGTATATCGCGGTATATTTTTCCACAGTTCAATTCACGATATGCTAGACGGATATCGCGGTTCGGTTCCATCGGTCCAGAATTATCCGAATCGTCCGTTTTGTTTCCCTGTTTACAATTTCAAAATGGCTTCTGCGCAAAATGTGAGGTCAACGATAACGCATTAACAGCAGTTAAACTCCTCTCCAGCATCTTACAGTCCTCAGATTTAACAAGGAGAAGGGCTTAATGTGATTAAAAGTTAGAGATGTTAAGACAAATTATAAACCCTTCAGATCTAAAAGTATTCTTTGGTAATACACGATATCTCATCACGCGTGTATCTTGATGAAAATTCGCTGTCTTGTTGACTTAAACGTGTTAACACGAGAAATATGACAACTGGTTTTCAACATAAATAAAAAAAATAAATGTCTTCCTTTTTCATTCCAATTTATAAGGAAGATTATTGGGAAAAGTCCCCGTAGTTCCCTGTAAATGATCATCATTGGTTTAGAATATTGTCACGACTCAAAGTTCTACCTATCAATCCAATTCAAGTTAACAAAATGATATTTTAATTATTATAAAAAAATATTAACATTTGATACAACCCTGTCAAGTTCTAAAAAATATGATGACAAACTTGAAAGACTTTTTAACCTTGTCATGTATCGTGAACTGAATACCGTGATACGTATCGTATCATGAGGTTGATGTACCGTTGCACCCCTAACATGTACGATCTTGAATGCAGCCATGCTTAGTTGTGAATGATAAACTGATAACAAAATGGAACCTAATGATTTAGAAATGGTAGAAGTACCAGGTAAAAACATCATTGAGAGGTTTTTATTTTGGAAATTATTTGCAATATTATACAGTTGTTGACTAGGACAGTTTCTCCTTCAAAGCCCTAATCATTCACTCAGTAGTAAAAATCAATTTTTTTATGGACCGCTCAGTAAAACATTGGAAATGTTACACTTTTTTTGGTATAGATTTATATAGGAAAAATTTTTAAAGGTATAAAAATAAATATTTAAATGCGAGTTTGAAGAACTTGACAAGATAATTTCAGACTATATATAGGAAAAATTTTTAAAAGTATAAAAATAAATATTTAAATGTGAGTTTGAAGAACTTGACAAGATAATTTCAGACTATGATCTTTATTACAGGGAACTGAGGGAGCCCTTCCCAGAAGTAAACCATTCAAGTATACATACGAGAAAGAGATAGTCATGTAAGTCCAACCTCTAGATCATATGAAAGCTGATAAATCCACCACTGTGAGGCAGGAGAAACTATAGGCATTTACCTTCCTCATTTGCTGAACCACAGAATGTTTTTAGATTATGCAGATTTATTTTTATATCTTAGAGAAGACATGTCAGTAAATTAAGGAAAACATAAATATAGTCAAACCTCGTTATCTCGAACTAAAAGGGACCGTGAAAATACTTCGAGGTAACGGAGGATTTGAGATATCCAGGGTAAAATACTTAAGGAATAAGCAAATGGAACTTCAAAATACTTAAGGAATAAGCAAATGGGACTTCAAAATGACTTCGACATATCCATGGTATTCGAGATATCTGTGTTCGAGATACCGAAGTTCAACTGTACATATAAATTGTTTCCATTTACTAGGTATGCCTACTTTAAAAAGCTGGATTATTTCTCCACAGAGCGTATATATTCTCCTAATGCTTATAGGTAAGACAAGGCATGTCTTTGTAATATGATCAAAGTATTATTCTAATTTTTGTCCATAAGCTTTTCTTCATTATTTTGTTTTTTTTTTACTTCTCTAGGGGATTTGCAAGGGCTTACATAAAAGACTTGGAAAAGATCCGACCAAGTGCTATAATTGGTAGGTCAAAATTTCGTACATTCAAGTTAAAAAAACATTATTATTGTAAGAAGTAGCAATGCATATGAGGGTGTATTTTGGACACCTATTACATTTTATTTGACAATAGTACCTCTTTAGCATATTTTGGCAACTAGCCCCCAAAAAACATCCTTATAAATCTGAACAAACACAGCATGTCCAGTTAAAATCAGTAATTACAATGCAGAATTAGTTTATTTATTGTTTGTTTGTTTTTGTTTGTATGTTGTTTAACGTCCCTCTCGAGAATTTTTCACTCATATGGAGACGCCAACACTTAGGGCTCAACATTAACTTTTTTCTCTACTTTTCCATTCGGACAAGTGACCAAGACTTTTACTTGTTCGAAATTCAACTTCACTTGTCCGAAAATTGTTCAATAAAGATACAATACTGTTAGCTTAAAAACTAATTAAAAATAAAGTCCATTTCATGTGATTGATTCGTGATGTTATTGATAAATACACCAAACACATAAAAACAAAATTTTATCTAAACTTTCTATCCTGACAAAAACATAAATATTCACAAATGAAACTGTCAACATCAAACAGAATCTAAACTTCGTAACTCGACATAAATTTCATGCCTTTGCAGTAGTATGCAATTAGTGAACGTCGAGTGTGAACTTAGTTTCATAGCGATCCATATCGGGATCGAAGTTTGTTTATTATGTACTACTTCTGTCTTTACCGATGACTTTCAACAGTCGTTTTTTTTTATTATTTGAAGACTTCTTTACATTAAAATCCACTTGTCCAATGGGACAAGTGCCCAGCAATATTCACTTGTCCGTATTTTATTTTCACTGGTACCGGACAAGCGGACAAGCGTTAATGTCGAGCCCTGCCACTTGTCGGTGGAGAGCTGCAAATTTTGTCCTATACTCGGCACTTACGGCCATTGAGCAGTGAGGGATCTTTTTCATGCCAGCACCTACAGTGTGGTCTCATCTGAAGGACCGGTCTCCATGTCCCACAGTGGGATTCGAACCCGCAACGTAAGGATCAACTCCTTACATAGCCACTCTAGAGCAGTCGCTCTAACCACTGTGCCATGTGGGCGACTAGTTTATTTAAGGATAAATAATAAAATGTACATTTCTTTAACAGTGTGAGAAGATAAATTGTCTCCTCAGTAATATGTATAATTTCTTTTTAGATATTGTTCACTCGGGAGAGAGTTTGTCGGTAAAGAAAGCTGTGAACCTACCAGTACAAGGTACCTCTTTCTGATGAATGTATAGTTTTTGCAAGCATAATTTTAAAAGACGAAGAGAAACTGAAATTGAATACATGTAATTACTGTAAATCACTTTTTATTTGCGAGAACTTTGTTTTCGCATAATTAGGTGAAACAGTGTGCTCGCGAAAATTTCATTCTCGCCTATATTATTATTTCTAAAGATTATAAAGAGCAGTAACCACAATTTGTGAAAATTTTGTCTCGCTAATAAAGAATTGATGACTATCGCATGAAAATAAGGTGTTGCGAAAATAAAATGATCTACAGTAAATGATTGTGTTCATTTATATTCAAAATATATGCTCGTGGTTAATTTAAAGGTCACCTGAGTCACACATGCTCTGCATAGGTGTAAACTTTTGAACATTTTCACATCTCATTTTTAATATCATAAAGGACAAGACTGGCTTAGTCCCCTTTTTGGCCCCTGATTTGTGGTGTCTCCAGGAGCGATGCAATAGTTTATTACTACAGTGGCTGCAACGTTATTGTTGACAACTTACACGAACGATCACGTTACACGAACGATTCCGCACGATTAACGCACGATAAAATCTGTTACACGAACGATCCTTCATGCACACAATTCTACACGTTACACGATTCTTCATGCAAAATAGTTCAAATTCTTTAGGAATGGATATTTTCAAAACGAAATAAGGCTTAATACTTATTTTAGATTTCAAATAATTATTGATATTAATTCATAGACTTTTTAAAATGGAAAAAAAAATAGAAATGGATATTTCTGGAACTAAATACATGTAAGACTTATTAATTATTTTAGATTGCAATTATTATTGTACTTATTTATTATTTATTTACGTAATTCTTCGACTTAAGAAAACTGATTTTTTTTGTTCTATGAGAAAATGTACGTGTAGGTGGACCGTGAGTTTTGATTGAATTGGATTTCATAATATGCAGAAAGGGATAAGTTGGAAAAAAAATGGCATGAAAATGAATTAATTTATAAGATATATCCATGTTTCCATTTGTGAATTTCTAAAATCAACAATTATTTTACAAATCATTTATTTGCAGAAATTATAAAAATAATTAAAAGTAAGCTCTAGAGATAAACACTGATAAACGAATCCCCGACAATCATGTCCAATACATGTACATTCGCCGACTAAATATTTATTTAAGCATTGAGAATTGTTTATTTATTTATTTGTAAAAATATCTATTTTTGATTTATTGATTTCAAAAATATCTTGACCATAATTAGCAGTAAACATAATTAGCATCAGAGAAAAAAAATCCTTAAACATCTAAGTACGGTTTATCACAAAAAATCACGCTATTTGACGAGAACACAATATTGAACAACTTACTATATTGCTTATTTCCAAGCGATAATTAGTTCGTTCTGCTTTCAATTATGTAAATCGCTCGTCATTTATTTTATTTGGATTGAAAAAAAAAAAAAAAAAAACAGACAAGCGAAATGCTTGTATAACAAATAACATTCCTATAAAACTTACAAAACGAAATTTACACGTTTCTTAATGCACAATCGCGCACGATTAAAACTGCAAACGATTGAGTCTGATACACGCACGATCTTGCACGTTACATGAACGATCACGCATGTTTCACGAACGATTCTGCACGATTGGTTTGTCAACAATAACGTTGCAGCCACTGTAACTTGTCATCCCTCTTATAAAATGGATATTGATTCTAAGATATGGGGTACCCAAAGGTCACAGGAAGGTCATTTTTATGCAAATTTTCATCAATTTTATTGCACATTTTGTTTCAGGAAAAAAAGAGCACAAGCTTGCCTATCTACCAAATTTATATATTTCATGCACTTGTATCAGATTGTTCTTGTGTATAAAAATCTCAGAAAGGCAAGCTTGTGCACTGTGTTTCCCAAAGTGAAAAGTATCTCAAATTTGAACAAATTCCATTAGCATTGACGAAGTTTGGAAAAATGTCCAACTTTGGCACCCTCTTGTGGCCACCCTGTACTCTTTGATTCAAAATTATTGCTGGTTTTAAAACAAACATTATTTGAAGTTCTTAACTGCAAACGATCACAATTTTTGTAATTGTGTTTTGATTTTTACATCAAATAAGGGGCCAAATTCGGCTGTTACCTTACCTTGTCCTTTGGCATATAGCATTAATTGGTCAAGAGGTATAATTCTGAATTTTTTGGTCCCTGCCCCCGTAGGGATGGGGCTGTTTCCATCAAAATAAAAATCTTCTTTGCTCCTGGACATCAAGAAGTCACACTTTTGGCATGATTGTAATGAGAATTGAGCCATCTACCAAAGTTTTGAAATAATTATGGTCTCTGATTGAGGGGTTCTGGAGTTTGGGTGGGGCTTTAATGATCATTTAGTGAAAAAGCATAAATTCTTTTAAAATCTTTTATTACCTGTAAATAATACAGATAAAGTAGCTGCATGGTTCTGATGATCAAGGATGCCTCTTTCAAAATAATATGAAATGTGTGGCCCCATGGTCAAGGGTTTTCTGAAGAGAGGGGTCTGTTGTGAAATGAATTATTTCTTTAAAATCTTCCTCTTGGCTCCTGAGCATAGAGCAAACAAACCAAATGGATAGTTATGATGAACAAGGGTGCTTCTTCCAAAATTGTGAATTTCATGGCCCAGGGTCAGGGGTTTCTGGTGTATTTCTGTAGATGAGATGGTCAGATCATTTCTGTTGACAGGTACTTGTGAGAGGTGTGGCTATATCTCCAGTAACCCCCTGTGTAAGGCCTGTATTCTACTGGAGGGACTCAACAGAGGCTTGCCAAGGTATTACATGTATTAAATTTAGTGTAAATTGTTCAGATCTATATAGAATTGTTTGTAAAATAACTCCTATAAGTGTTTGATTTTTTTTTTTCCTTTATAGACTTGGAATTGGCAAAAGTCACAAAGAGAGACGCAAGGTTAGTGGTTTTGACATAATTTAGTTTTTTTTAACAGGGATGAATTATTTTTATTTAAGTGCATTAAAAAAAATATATGTAAAAGATATTCATATTCTAAACAGTTTTTAATGATAATATATTTTGAAGTTATTTTCATTTGTTATTTTTTTTGTTTTTTTTTTTACATGTACATTTATACAATAATATTCCTTTATGCGTTTTCGGTGCATGGCTGAGGGGCATGTTTATTTTCAAAAAAAAAAAAAAGGAAAAAGACTAATAAAAATTTTTTCTAGAGGTTTCTTCTTTTTAAGATGACCAAATTCATATGGTTATATATTTAGCTGAATGAAATGTTGGCCCAGAAATCAGAAGCTACTGACGTTGGTACAAATATGGACACTTCAAAAGAGACAACTGATAATGCATCAATGACAGAAAGCTTGGGATCAACGAACACAAAACAAAAATGTGAAAACTGTTCTTGTGGTAGCGGTTGTTTATCTGACAAACTAGAGGAAGTTAAGCTGGACAGAAGGAAAATAGACCCAACAAAGATAGATTTCTGATATGTTGGTACTTAGATGGAATGAAATGCAATGTATACATTTTTTTACCAAATGAAAAACTAAATGATTACAGGAAAACACACTTATAAGGAATGTTAATTCCCCGTGGCTTTAAAATATATTGTTAACTTGAGGGATACATTGAATTATGTTTATAAAGAAGCAAAATCATCCATCCCTGACACTTTTTTATAAGCGTATTTTTCTGTATTTCTAATCATATATCTAGCCAATGAAATTCAATAACACTGTGAATAAATGTTGGAAATTAAATTTATTAAACATTGCGTTTGAAAGTCTTTCACAGCCATTTTTTTTTAAATTTGATTTTGATAGAAAAGTATAATTAGAATATAATTATATTTTTAAACAAATTGTTCCCGAATTTATACCTTGTTTGTAAAATCCACTGCATTACAATGTATTTTGAGAGAAATGTACATGCTAGTGTCATATTGCTTTGAATAATGATTATTTTGGATTTAATTAAGGTCTTCCGTTTCCAACGGAAGACCTTCTACTGATTGTGATGATTAAGATTATTCTTATTATTTTTTTTTTTTTCCTAGACGCCAACTTTGACGCTTCATATCTTCCTCATTTTTAAACAGATTTTGTTCAAATTTTCAGAGCTTTTAGACTTTACAAAACACTGTCAGAATACCGTAATACAATTCGGAAATTACCTTCTGTTCACGAATTATTCCCCTTTGATTGAATTTTGCATGCCTCCGATTTCCAGACAAAGGCTCAAAAATGGTTATAATTGGAGCACAAAACCCTTTGAAATTGAAAAGAGGAAGCATTGAAGTTGTGCACATCGGTTTTTGTTTTTTGATTTTTGCATTAAAAATGGCGCTAGAGAGGGGTCAAAAGTTAGAACGCGGAAAACAGCAAAAAATTTGACATATTTTCCTTTATATCTTGAAAACTAGAAATATTTTGTTAAGACATGTAGAACAAAAGTTGTGCATAATTGCAAGGGCTTTCATATTATACTATTTAAAAGGGGCTGGCCCCTATGATTAGGGATCTTGGGCCCATAAAAGTTTTTGCTTTATAACTCAAAAACGGTAAATATTTCGATCTGGATCTTGGGAACAAAATTGTTCTTTTACACCTTTTTGATCTAATGAAAATGTTGTTTTGTTCGAGTATACCGTGGGTATTGCGTAATACGTATTAGAAAGCAGGCCAGGTAAACAGGTAACTTTTTTTATTCGGCAAGGAAATCAGACCTCTTCATGTGTATAACTTAAACAGACTTGCTATCAATAATATACCCTGCGGTATTTAATGTTAATTTTCTTTTTAATAAGGTTTAAAACGTGGTTTATGGTTCACTATTAAATTATTTATTACAACTAGTCTTTCTTTTCTTCTTTTTTAAATTAGGTTAATAGTGTTCAAAAGCGGAGAATATTAAATGTATCTGTCTACGTTTATATTACAACAAACTTTGTAAGTGATTTTAAACTGTATGCATTGAATAATTCACGATCATTAGCTGTATGCATATTACGGTCTCCATGTTCAGCTCGATGTTTAGTTATGTAACCCAACGCGCGAATCCCACGCTGTTGATCGAGGTCACCAGTGTACTAGCCACCTGTGGCCATAAACAAAGCTAGTATTTGTGATCGCGTATAATGTCAATTTTGTACAAAGAGCTATTAATTAATGGAAAGTTATGTTTTTAATTATATCGAATCAGTAAGATTACTTTAACGATCTTTTATAATCTTAATTCCAAACACTGGTGCATAAAAATCATTTTGAATTTTAATCGCTGTTTTTGTCTGTTCACGCAACAATACATTTAAAAAAAGTATTGCTCTATCCCGTGTTGTTGTATTTTAATTCATCTGCAATTGTAATTGAATGGGGGCTTCGGTAAATAATTGTAATTACTACGCATGCTACGCACATATTATTTTTACCATCACTCTTGTGAATGTCCATTTATTATTTATAGAATTAAATAAACATTAACATAAATAAAAATTCCTTCAAATATACATGTACTATAATTCAAGTCTTTGTAATATAGCAAACAGTTTCATCCATCTCTGCCGCTTTGTGTCTTTAAGTGTTGTAGTCCAGTCCTCGTTTACATACACGTGGCCACAGAGAGCCGCGGGCACCTCGATGTTGAAATACATTGTGTACTCTGATAGTTGCTCTACACCGCACAAACAACTAACGTGTACATACAGTGTAGTAATTGGCAAAGATTGTTTGAAAAATATAAACTCGCATGTGTTCGCTACGAAGCATTCATTTTAAAATTTTATTTACATGTAGATACCTTATAAGAACAAAATAAAGTAAATGTATAACACCTAGAACAATGTTTAAAAATTAAAATACAAATATCGTGTGCTCGGAAGGGAAGATGGCTTGAAAGGGTGTGTCTGTGAATGCTTAGATCTAGCAACACACTTCGCAAAGTTAAGCATACTTGTGTCCAAATCCTTTAAAAGTGGGGGCAATCCCCAATCCTCGCACCCTTCCTTTTTGAATCTAAAAATATATACCATACTGAGAGTTGTATATAGAGCGGGAATGTTATTTTATTAGTCCTTAAAGGCACAACTTAAGAAATGACTTATAAATTTTTTTTAGATAAGATTGTTTCGCGATACAGCTGTGATAAATCTTAGGAACTTCTAAAGTTATAACTTAGGCATATCTTAAGATAACTTAGGAAACGTTTTTGAAACAGGCATGTCATCTATTACGACGTCCATATTACCATATAAGAGAATGAAATTTTGTTTTGTATATAAAGTGGTTATTACAAATATGCGTGTTACAAAAATGTATGTTGAAATCTTCAAAAGCTATCGAATTATTTGCATACGTGTACTCGTACATATGAACATTGATCAACACTGATCAAGTGTATACCGGGACCCGGGATAGTCTTATTATAGCTCTTGCTTTGTCAAATCATTACTTTCATACCCCTTGCATTTAAGAAAAACAATGTTATAAAAAAAATAATAATCTGACATATAACAAGTATACATGTAGCGTGTGCAATTTATTTGGCTAGGGGCATGTACACACGTGGTTCGAAACTGTAGGGGGCTACAAATGCGGCCATAACTAGTATATTTTTTAGGTGTTATAAAAAACAAATAATACTCACAAAAGCTTATAAAATTGCCGTTCTATCGATACCTTATATGCCATGTTTCATCCACCAACAACGCCACGACATCGATGAGAAATACGTTTCTACACGGGCATTTTCTTCGAAAAGGATAGGAAGTTAATGAATTAAAATAATTAATTCTTTTAGTTAACGCATTATGTTTACCTCTTTATTTGTTGTATGCAATAAGTATAGACCTTACTAATAATGACTGTTTGGTTGTCACACCTGTGCATGTGTTGTGCGAGGTACAGCGGTAAGGTAAATTACCGAGAGTCGCGATGTGCGGGGTGATTCAGAATACCCTAAATGACTGTGGTCCATTGAATTTCTACTAGTAAATCAACCTGTCAAATCTAACATGGGCCCACATAATACGACTAAATTCGTTTCATGAATGAACTGGTTCTTAACAAATATATGTACAGTATACAATATCTTTTCTTTAGATCTGTTTGCTTATTATTTTCAACCACAATCTGCAGTACATGTATAGTTACACGAAATCCATGCACAACGGCTCTACACCTGTCAATCAAAATCACTCGATATTGTGAACTCAGTCTGGTGTTACGGCAGCATTTCCGAAGTGATTCAAAATATTCTATCGGCTAATTCTAATTTTTCGCGTTGAATAATAATATTTTGGAACAAAGTTGGAATTAAGGCTGGAGCTGCATGCTGTGAATTTATCGCACCTGCAGTCTGCAGTCTTCCCTTCTTACATGTATATGAAGCATCTGTTGAGTAATGAATCAGAGAGCATAATATGCGGAACAAGTTTGATTGAGATTTTTACTTTTCCTTTAAGATAAAATGATTAATAACATAATTTATGCATCTAATAGATACATATAAATGTACATGTATAGCTTTTTAAAAACAAGAATCTGTAATTGAAAATGTGAAAGTGAAGAGTTTAGGTAATAGTTCTTAACCAAAATTTAATGACAGTTCATTCCTTCCTAGTCTCTATATAACTTTTAATTACGGCCGTGCCCTCTCCCCTTCAAAAGATGTCTAATACATGCTTTTAAATTCTGTTTATGTATCAAGAAATTTCCACAGGTACTTGTGGACAGGATCCCCCCCCCCCCCAATGTTTGTTGGACATTTTTTTCCACAAATTATATTTATTACACTTATTCATCATGTGTACCATAGGAAAAAATCGAGTACAAGTACCTGTGGAAATTTCTATTTGCCCCCCCCCCTTCCCAGAAAACTGAAATTGTTTTCTACGGGCTTGACAACAGGTACTTGTGGACAGACCCCCCCCCCCCCCCCCCGATATTCAACCCCGGGGCTTGTTGGACATTTTTTCCACAAATTATATTTATTGCACTTACTCATCATGTGTACCATATGAAAAAAATCGTGAAAACCCCAAAATAATCGTTCCACACAAAAAATGCCTCACTATGTTTAGTTAAAACATTAATTTTTCATATTTCTTGATGAAATTAACATTAATAAAATCAACACAAAATTAATACCGTATTACATATCACTTGAATTTATCATAAAGCAGAAAATCTGTTCTGCGGGCTTCAAGGCCAGCTCAGGAACCTAAAGATGTCCTCATTTTCCAAGTCCAGTACAGAACGTAAATTAAATGAAATAAATCACACGATCACTGGGAAGAACTCAAAGAAAGAAGACTCTTGAGGAAAAGATATTTTGATTCGACTTGTAGACTGAAATAAACCGATATTCTCTTTTTGCCACTCTTTCCTGGTGCCCTGGGACTCTGAATGTAGGATCAGTATTTTTCTCACAGGTCCGTTGTACGGATTGTACGGGGGGGGGGGGGGGCAGACCTTCTGAAAATAGTCTTTTGTTGTAGTTTTAATATGTAAATTTTGATTTAATTGCTGCTTGCACTCTCCCCACTCTTTGTTTCTCTACGGTCATACATAGGCGAATCCCAGCAAAAATGTAATGACCCCCCCCCCCTCCAACACACACTTTTTTTCTTTAAATGTGTATTGCGATAGGACTTAAAATTGGAAAACATTTTTTGTATATCTCTACATCGAAAAATATAAAACAAATATTTTTTTTTATATTTCCTTTTTAAAACAACATAGATAATTATGCATAGCTAATTAAATACTGAATTAAATATTTATCTTTGCAGACAATATGCTCTGGGTTATAGAACATGATGTGAAAGCGTATCGTAATGCACCTTGTAATCCTTTGGATTTTCAGATTTAAGGCCAATGCGAAAACCCAAAGACGCCGACATTTTATTATGCTAC